TAAAAGCTTAGATTCATTTCCATGCATAAAGGTGCTGGTAAGCATGGCTCTGGTTTTCTTATTCTTTTTACAGTTGAGTTCCTTTTTCTTGTTTACTCTTTGTTATTTCAGTCCTAAAATTCCCAATTTTTCCTCAAGATTAATTTCTCATACTTCATATTTCTATATTGTGAATTTTCAAATGTAAAGTGACATTTTTAATATCACTAAAGACTGTGAATTCTAGAAATCTATATAATTTTATTTGCATGAACTACATTAAGTTTTCTTCCCTTCAGTTTCACTTAAGAAAACAGACACAGAGTTAACATTATTTACTGCGTTAAAGTGAATGCTTTGTACAATGAGATTAAAGAAATAAAAACAATGGGGTTGGCATAAACTATCATAATCACCTTTGACATTAATTTTAACTCATAATTGTGGTAAGATGATTAATGCAGAATTGTTCGGGAAAGATTATATATGGGCAGTTATTTTTCATTTTATGGTATTGGTCCTCGTTCTATCAAAATTGTATGAGAAGCTGCATTGCTTCTGCCTTATTTACTTCTTGAAAAATGTACTGTGACATTGAGAAATAGAATATAAAAGGTTTCTAATTCCATATCGAAGTCATATTTATTCATCTGATTGATCATGGGGAAAATTTGGTACTCTACAATGTATTCTTTATTTTATATTTATTTTTTGGAAGGTGATATAGATTCTCAAATCTTTGAGGTACTTCCTTTTTCTCCTTCATCTATTTCAACCTTGAAGATAAGCCCTTTTCTCTTTCCCCTACTCATACTTTGGTGATATGAGAGAAAGGAAGGGTAATGAAGTATACAACAAGTTTGTCCATTAGTAGAATTGTTACTTTATGCAATTTCTACAATGAGTGATATTTAAAAATACATATTTTTAGTTGTAGTTGGACACAATAACTTTATTGTATTTATTTATTTTTATGTGGTGCTGAGGATGAATGGTTATGAAATGTATACTGAGGGAGTATATGAAAGGGATATCTGACATACAGAAGTTTATATTCCTCATATCTGAGAGATGTGAACATGAGATAACGTGAGGATCCCTATAGATATGAATAAACACAAGAAAGGGAATAAAAGGACATTAGTTTTTGATGATGATCAGGTTGCTGATTGAAGATTCCTGGGAGATCAAACATCTTTAAAAAAGTGGTGAGACCTCTTCTTGTTGTACAATATAAGAAAGAAGAAAAATGTAACATCAGAATTCTGTTTTTGTACTGATTGAAACGTTAGATATTGAGCTAGAGAAATCCTAAATCCACATGCTCTTTAAATTTCAGGATATACAGTAGGTTTTGTGATTCATGTAGATTTTTTTTTATTAATTTTTAAAATATATTACAGCAGAATGCCTTACAATTTATGTTATACATATAGAGCACAATTTTTCATATCTCATGTAAAATTAATTCATTTATAATAAATGGTGAACCACTGGCAAATGTCTTCAAATTAGTAAACAAATTTAAGAGAAACATAAAGAGAAAAAAAACACAATATTGTAAAAGACTGACAGTACACCATGTATATCGTCCATGTTCTTAAACATTACAGTTATGTGTGTGTGTTGAAGATGAGTGCCACACTGCATTATAGAGTAATCATGAGGAAAGCTAATCATTATTTTTAATATTTGTACAAGCAATATTCATTGTCATTTATTTAACATTTATGATTCATTTGAAGTTTGCTATAGTATATTTTGAATTATGAAGTGTGCTTATTTATTCTTGTAAATGTTTTCACATTTTGTCTGTCTTCAAAAGAGAAGCAACTTGGTTCTGGGTTGATGACACCAAGGTGCATGAGTTAACATATCCACTCTCTTAACGTGATTCTGCTTCTACTGCCGTTTGGTTAGTTGTGCTAGAAATGGGGCCACCTCTTTAGAATTCTTTGTAGTGTTATTTTGTAGTTTGGTTATTTTATGCACTATAGAATATTTGGTATTCAAATTGTTAAATAAATTTTGTTATAATGCTGTTGTTCTGCTTGCTTTGCCTTTTTAATGCATATAAGATCAGAAAACACAATAAAACTCCTGCAAACATTACATTCTATGGGGTTGTAATCAAATTAAATTATAAAAGAAATAGTTCTTGCCTTTACCAAGCTTATAAAAAGAACATCTGGACCAGTTTATAGAACTTAAATATCTTGCCTAGAATTCTGACTCAATTCTACGACTTTTGATGATGAAAATGACAACCAAAGAAAATGATGAAAATGACAACCAAAGAAAATTCTGTAGAATTATATGTGGGACACTTTATGCTTTATGTTACTGACATTCTTTTTAATGTTTAGAAGAACCAAGGTACATTGTCCTGTCATTAATAGTGTGAGCACATTGATCTATGAAGGTAACCATGATGCTTAGATATTTAGTATGTGCTAAAGGCTTTAAAAGGATTCTGTCATTTATGCAGGCCATCATATGTAAGGTGAGATTTCCTAGCTTGGTATTCAAGAGTGTAGACAGTGTCTATAATATAATATTGAACACAAAACTGGATTTGAGGATGCTTTAACATTGTTTTTATGTTATTAAAACTTTCATCTTAGCTATTTAATTTATAATTACATGTTTCTGGTCATAGTATTATTATTATTATTATTTGCAATTTTAATTATTAAGTATATCAGCAGGTATCCTGGTAAGCTCTTTTTCTCCCCTAGTACATGTTGAATATGTCAAAGATTCAAATTAAAATGTATAATATTGTAATAATGGAGAACTATGAGCTGTATTTTGCTTATAGTTAAAATTTAGTGTAACCTAATCTAACTTTTGTAGCTCACAAAGTTAAAGGAAATATAACTTCTTTAATTATTTAATAATGTAGCACAACTTAAGGCCACTTCAATTTTTGTTTTATGCTTCTGGTTTCTTAAAGAAAATACAAATTGGTTCTACATTAATATTTCATATGTAAAAGCAATCAAACAAATATGTCACACAAGTTTGATTCATTCTGTTTTCCAGGTGCAACAATCGAACACAATGTATAGTAGTTACTGGGTCAGAAGTATTTCCTGATCCATGTCCTGGGACATACAAATATCTTGAAGTCCAATATGAATGTGTTCCTTACAGTAAGTATGAAATTTATATTTTTCACTTTCCCTGGCATTCTTCGTTGATGCTGAAAGACTACACATGTGAAAGCAGCATATGTTTATGGCCTACAAAACCATTATGCATGCAGAGCACTAACAGACTCGGGACTCCAATTAGCTTCATGAAGTGTGGAAGGAAGCCATAGTGTGATGCTGGCCAAGTGTCTGTCTGTGTTCTTAAGTGTTTGGCTTTTAAGGCTAGTGTTTTTCCAGAAAACAAACTTGAATTAGCTATTCAATAGGGCAGATAGAAATCTGTACTTTTGCCCAATACCAGTTGCTGACAAATTGGTTTGGCTCATGGTTTTCTAAAGGAGGAATTGACTTCAGTTTTAATCTTGAGCTACTTGAATGGCTACCTGCTGCCTGGTAACTTTGTAAAAGCTACCCTTGCAGAAACTGAGGCAATTGTTGCCCTTTTTGATTCATGTCCTTGAAGGGAGCATTTCTTTACTAGATTCAGTGATGAAATCTTATGTTTAAAAAAATGAATCAAACAAAATCTTGTACATATTTTAATTTTATAGCATCATATTTAAAATCCTACAGAGGCATATTTGAAATTCAATTGAAAAACAAATTTTTTTTTCGATAGGCTTTGGCTTATTTACACTCTAATGCTGTATAGTTTTCCTTCAAATATTCCTACACTTTCAGTAGGGGGAAGAAAAAAACCCAACATATTAGACAACTTAAAAGATTAAATATATTTCCTGATTTTCACAAGCTAGTTTGATAGAGTTGTCTATTTACTTTTTAAATTGGGAAAGGTGAAAAGGGGTAAGTCATGTCATTATTAGTTCACAAGTATTTGAATTAAAAGTGTTACAGGAGAACTTTTACTGATTGGAGAAAGTTTTTACACATTTTCTCCCATTTAAAACAAAACAAAACAAAACAAAAACAAATTTGCAGTCAGATGTGGTGGCATGCCTGTAGTTCTTGCTTCTGGGGAGTCTAAAGCAGGAGGCTCACCTGAGGCCAGGTGTTTGAGTCTATGCTGAGTAACAGTGAGACCCTGTCTCAAAGGAAAAAAAGCAAACCAAAAACAACCCAGATAGGTATGCTGTGTCTAATGTGTTGGTAACACATCCTTACACATATTTTAAAGGCACACTTTCTGTCCTCTCTGCCAGTTTTGATTAATTGGCATTTTGTGATATCATTTAAAGGCCAAACACAGATTATCTTTTCTTTTCATCCCTGCTCTGTGTTCCTGTGTTACTGTGAAATGGATGCTTTTTTTTTTTTTTATGTTTTCAGTATTTTCTATACCATTTGTAGGATTGGAAGCCTACTGAGTGCACTGATCTCTATATCATTTCTCCAGTGTGTAGTGTTGGTGGCTTATATAATCATTCTCCTGTGCCACTAGAGGAACATTGTATTCTTTTGAGCTAACCAAAATTTTGTTCCATAAAGTCCCTTTCACTTGAATTCAGCATGGTTTCTGTCCTCAAATTAGAGAAGGAATACAGCATCCATTCCCAAACAGTGGAATCAGTCAGAGCTGCCAAGAATTGTGTCTTTCTGGAACCAGTTCCTGTTATCTAGTCTATAGACCAAGAACAGTGTTAAGCAAATATTATTTTCAGACTCTTAAGTAATTTCTTGCGCTGTTAAAGAAAGGAAAATGTGGATATCTTCTGGAACATCTAACTTTCAAAATTTTACTTTTTCAGTTCTCCAGAAGTATTGTACATTGTGCACTAAACTTGCAAATAGCTATATTCAGAGAAGTATTTGTTCTTTTTAGTTTTTGTCATTTAAAATAAAAAGAAACACAGTAAATAATTTGCTGTTACTTTTCTAGATGTTGCACGAGGCAGCAATAAGTCTATGGCTTTTTATTTTAAAGCACTCTTTGCTAAAGAATAGAAGTAATTACAATTCCTATATACCGTACAGTAGTGACACACTATAAATTATATGATCTTAACTACTTTAAATTCAAGAGCTTTTTTTAGATTATTCTAATTCTTATATAGGACCATGTGTGTCCATATTTCTTTCTTGGTTTCCTCTCCATTTATTTACTTATTTATTTTTTGTGCTTTGTTCCCTTTGTTGGCGGGAAGGGATGTTGTGCTATTATATCCATTGCTCACACCTCCTTTTATTTTAAGCATCTAGCTTTTATTTTCTCATTGTTTTAAAAAGTGTATGTGTATTTTGAAAAACTTACATCCCCATTTCACACTTACTTGTGAAATCAGATCACATTTATTCCCTTTTGTTTTCACTTGGCTTTATGCCAGTTTCTGCTAAAACGTATCCTCCAGGACCTTATACCCAAACTGTTTCCTTCTAGCAAAAATCAATTTCAGAAATTTTTCATGACTTATGAAAAATTCACAATAAATTTGCTCATCAGATAGCATTAGAAATACTGTTGTTTTGGTTCATTTTAATTTGTTTATAAACAGGCACATGTATAATATGTGACTTTGGTACTTGCCCAGATAACCTTTGCACCAACAATGCACGTATATAAGGCATTCTTTGTTGTTGACCAACTGTTACAAATTGCATATATGTGTATTTAAAAGAAGTTCCAGGATCTTGGAGGATAAAGGAGAATAAGCAGCTTGGGATTTTGCATCCTATGGGTAGTATCTGTTTTTCATTTGGGTACCCTCTTTTTTCAAATTTCCATTGTACATGATAATGATGCCATGTTAGGTACGAGATATATTTAATGAGAATGACAATAGCTTTGCTATTGACTAATCATTACTAATAAATAAGTGTGAGATTGTTCAAAATGAAATAGTGTGTCACTTCAGGTACAGAGTATGTAGGCTACAGTTAGTTTGGGTAAATTCTTGTCTTGTGTATCTGTGTAGTCCTCCACTGATGTCAGTGGATCATGTACTTGTGTGTTTGGTCTATAGAAAAGTAAATGTATCATTATGAATTAATTAGTAGAGTCTCTTAAGACAAGTTTCAGTATATGGCATGTGATAAAGATTGCTGATTTTATTAATTTTATTATTTTTATATTCTGGTTGATAGACTTGGCTGATTCAACATATCTATCCTTTGGGTTTTCATAAAAATCATTATGTAGGAATTGTCTTTTGTTTTAAAATTTTATATCTTACATGATTCCTTAATCATCCAAAGTTATTTTTTTATTATTACATTTGGATGTTATTTCCCAGTTTTCACCAGAGCTATAAATTGAAGACAATTCATATCCGTTTTCTTTTCCTTTCAAATAAATGATAGTAGTTATATCACAAGTAAATTAAGATTTCTGTGTATGATATTTTTCTCAGTAACTACGCTGTCATTTTAATAAAATGTATCAAATGAATAAAATTAATTGATTTATTTTAGTAAACTCTTCCTTTCCTTAGGAATAAAAACACAGCTGTGTATAAATATATTCTGAGAATTCATAACACTGATGATTTCTCTTACCATTTTTCCACCATGCCCTTTTATTAATGATTCTAAGCAGGTATATTTTTGCTCTTCACTGTAGAACCATTTTAGGACAGGTGGTTTATAAACAAGTATTGTTTCCAAGACAGCAACACTGAATCTCTCCTGTGTACCAGATGTAGTCAGAATCACACATTATAGAAAAAGTATGTTTTCTGAAAGTGGTTAAATTTAAGACCAAATTGGTTAGGGGAAGTTGTGACTTAATGTAGAAATTTATATGCTGTTTCTGTGGCACAAATGTTTGTGTGATATGTTTCTCCCAAAGGTATTTAAAAGTTCAAATTTAATCCTAACAAATAATTATAATTTAAAAAAATGAATCAAGATAAGAACACTTAATATATTACTACACTTTCTTTGAGTAATCAGTTTGGAGATGTAGTATTAGCACATCCTAATGCATTTTAGCATGGGATGAGGGAGAAACATAGGCATCAGTCTAGTCATTTTTATGAAGTTCAGGCAACATACTTCAAAGCCTACATACATTTAAAATAGTACTTTATGGTTTCTAGTTATTAGAGCACTATTTACCAACAAGGATCTTATTTAGCACCCTTCCTAAGTATATAATCCACTTCTTTAAATTTGTAGGGGTTTTGTTTCTTTTATTTTTTTTTTTCCAACCTCATATAACTGTACTAATCAGGTTTGTTTTATGAAAGCATTTACCTTTTATGGGGTCTGTGGAGTCAAGGTATTTGCTTTGAATGCTTGGTATGATTGTTGTTGCATGCTGGCTTGCTTTCTGTGTAAATTAATGATAGTGGAAAATGTCATAATAAGCTAACCATAATTCTTTCTTCCTTTTTCTCCTTGCCTACTGTGCTTGCTTTTCCCTTGTATGTATTTTGCTTACTTTTTTTATAGACTTAGTAGTACAAGTTTGATATATCTGTGATATAGAAAATTCAGTAAGAATTTTGTAATATAAAGTCTATATACCTAAATACATAATTTTACTAATCCTTAATGGGTAAGAAGGTACTAGCTTACCTCACCCTTCACAATCCCTATTGGGGCTGAGGGGAGATTGATAATATTCCTGAAAAGGAGGCATCTTTCTTATGTTTATGATTAATTTTTCTAGGAGTAGAAGATAATAGAAAAACAATTGAAATATGTACTGAGGTACATAATTATGTATTTATTATATAAATATCTTTGAATAAAATGTTACCATATCATTATTTATTAAATTTGACCTAAAATTCAAAATCAAAATGACATTTTATAAATGTATTTTCCTGTTGTTATATAATTTTAGTCATTTTAATAATTGAGTTCACGTAAGATAAATGGGGATGGTACACCTGTGCATGCATTTATGTTGATAGCGTACATATGTAAAGAAAATCTTAATAAGAATGCTGAGTGACTTTGGAGAGGCAAGAGTATGTGTAGCTTGCATTAGTGAAGAGTTTCATTATTTATTCAGGTACACTAAGTGAAGCAACATGCCAGCATATTTGTATTGCCTCCTTAATCTACTAAAATGATTGATCCATGTTCTTTTATGTAACTTTAGAATCTTTCTCCTGCTAGGTTTTCCTGTGTGTGTTTCTCTTTATCCAAAGTAGTACAACAACTTATTCTTCCTATATTTAGCATCTGTTACGAATTCAGTCTTAGACTAATAGTCAATTTATTTTAATCTTCTTTCTTTTTTCCTTGCACCTTTTTTTATTTTTCTTCCGATGCTTAAAATAGAAGTGGAGCAAAAAGGTAAATAACGTATACAGTCTGAACCCCAGCTCCCTGTTATGTGCCTTATGGATGTTAACCTCCTCCCTCCCCTCTCCCACGACCTTCCTACATTAAAATAATCAGCAGGATCTCATAAATGCACCTCATAAAGAAGTCGACTGTTTACAATGAAATTATGTGACTGCTAAATCTGGTGATGGGGTAAAAGTTCTGAAGTCGGCGAGGGGCAGCTGCCCTTTCTCTGTTTCTTTTTGTCTCTTTTCCCAACACCCTTGGATATTTTCTTGTTATTGAAGTGTCATCTTGCCTGGCTTCCAGAACCCTCTCATAGCATGCCATGGTTACAGGGTCTCCTGGTCGTTCATCACTGCTTTCCTTATATTTACTTTTCTCTGCTCCTGATTGCATTTTCCGAATATTTATGTTCCTTAAGTCAAAGCACCTTTAACTTTTGTAAAAGTTCTAAATAAGTCTTCACAATGGGTTTTCTGTTTTATTTCTCTTATTTTGTAGTTTTACTTTGGGGGGCTTATAGGTGGGCAAGGGGTTGGAGAGTATAATGTTTGGAATAAAATATTTGATGCATAAGCTCAAAGTTTTAAACCATTTATTACCAAATTATAAGGCAAAAGCCCACCGAAAACTTAAATTCTCAGTTCAATTATGAATGATCTTACACATAGGTTTGTGTTTATGAAAATAAACCCTGACCACTTTGTGGGATGGTATTCGATTATGGTCACTTCAGAAAAGAACGGTAGTGCTTGTTTTAAGTTTAAAGTTTGGTAAAATTAAATGCTAATAAAACAAATTTTTCTTTTTTGTTTTGTGATCAATAAAACTTTGTGATTACCTGTGTAATTTTTTTTTTTTTTAACTTGGCTTAATTCTTGTCTTTTCTCTGTGACTGTTAGTTTTTGTGTGCCCTGGGACCTTGAAAGCAATTGTGGACTCCCCATGTATATATGAAGCTGAACAAAAGGCAGGTGCTTGGTGCAAGGACCCTCTTCAGGCTGCAGATAAAATTTATTTCATGCCCTGGACTCCCTACCGCACTGATACTTTAATAGAGTATGCTTCTTTAGAAGATTTCCAAAACAGTCGCCAAACAACAACATATAAACTTCCAAATCGAGTAGATGGTACTGGATTTGTGGTATATGATGGTGCTGTCTTCTTTAACAAAGAAAGAACAAGGAATATTGTGAAATTTGACTTGAGGACTAGAATTAAGAGTGGAGAGGCCATAATTAACTATGCCAACTACCATGATACCTCTCCGTACCGATGGGGAGGAAAGACGGATATCGACCTAGCAGTTGATGAGAATGGCTTGTGGGTCATTTATGCCACTGAACAGAACAATGGAATGATAGTCATTAGTCAGCTGAATCCATACACTCTTCGATTTGAAGCAACCTGGGAGACTATCTATGACAAACGTGCTGCATCAAATGCTTTTATGATATGTGGAGTCCTTTATGTGGTCAGGTCAGTTTATCAAGACAATGAAAGTGAAACAGGCAAGAATGCAATCGATTACATCTATAACACCCGATTAAACCGAGGAGAATATGTAGATGTTCCCTTTCCCAACCAGTACCAGTACATTGCTGCGGTGGATTACAATCCAAGAGACAACCAACTCTACGTGTGGAACAATAACTTTATTTTACGATACTCTCTGGAGTTTGGTCCACCTGATCCTGCCCAAGGTAAGAATGCTTACTTGTTAATGCTTATGTTTTTCATAAGCAACTTACTAGTAAAAGACTTATTAATTTTCTCCCTTATTTTCTTCCCCTTCTCATAGTTAAAGCAAAGAATATGAGGAGGTATATTTGGTTCGATTTTCTTTTCTGAGTTTCTTCACTTAAATGTTGGCTTTATGAGATTGTAGCATCATTACTCAGTTTAGTTTTTCATTGCTGAAAATACAGTACCAGCTACAACCTTTTTGGTTTTTTTCCCCTCACCTGGCTTCTGAATTGATGATACTCTGTGTGCAGACCTTTTAACTTCTTGGCGCCAGTGGTTAAAGGAAATGTGTGTTAGGAAGTCCCAGAGGAGCGACTAGGTTTGATGTACAATGCCAGGTGTAAGTGTTCTGAAGTTTTGGAGTCTTGTTCTCTGGATGGGAGAGGCAGTCCTCAAACATCTTTCTAGTTCATCATGTAAAATTACACATTTTTATTTCCTGATACATTAGGACAGTTTAAAATCAATATTTTTATGACTGTCACACATGGACTAAGCATTAAGTGATCTCAAGTGATGATTTATAATGAGAGATCTGTTAGCATTTTTTGATTTGTGTTCTCTTTGGGTGTCTTTGTGGACAAGCATTACTTAACAAATTAATGCTACATTTTTGGAAATATATTTTGGCAGATCAAGTGAATTCATTTCTATGAGAAAGATTTTTGAGTATAAAATAAATGAATTCTTTATTAAAAGAAGATTACCTCATACTTAAGATAAAAGAGTAACCTGTTAATGTATTATTATGAACCTTGTACTAATTTATGTCTTTTCTACTTGAACATTGATGTTTGTGCTTTTAAAATGTGAATTAAATTTCCGTTTACTGACTTAAATGGAGTTTTCAAATTAAGTTGCTTCAAAATTTTAGAGACTGGAAGGTTTTGGAGTGACTAATCTTTTCAACAAGGTGAAACATTTTTTTTTCTGTTAATGCAATATGCATAAATGTATTCATCTACAAACTTATATCCATTCATTTAAGATATGCTATTAATATGTTCTAAATATTGTCATACTGCTAGGATCTCAAAACAAGTTACAGCTTTTTGTAATTGAATTTCTAATTTGAGTATTTATAGAGCTCTAAGATGTGCATTTTGTTTATAAATAAGAGTAATAATGATGTATTGACTTAGTGTGTGACACCCTTTTCTTAAAATCATGTAGACTTAGATTTTTTTCATTTAAGATATTAGTAGTAATGTCCATTGTTAAAGTTTCAGTCATTTAATCTTCTTTTAGAGCATGGAATGTTTATTGACAGTAGCTGTGAGTCATTTAAAAAAAAATTTATGCATATCTGTTTCCTCTTGAAAGCAATTTGGTTTGCTTCATGTATTTCAGTTTTGTTTTGTTTTCCCCAAAAGCTACTCCAGTGCTTCTCCTTTATCCTACAGGTTTCTCAAAGGCAAACTTGAGACATTGACAGACTTTAGGCATGGGCCATAATCGTATTGATCCTTGTGTTAACCTTTTTGTAATCCACATTACTCTGACAATTGTTACATTTTTCTTGGGTGGCAGTAAATCTTTTCACCTTGTTAGGAGAAGAAAAGCAAAGAAAAGGCTTTAGCAACCGCAAATTCCTAATCAGGCAACACCCAAAGGATTGTGAATGAAGTTTAGTGTAGGTTCAATTCAACCAAGAGTCATTACTTGTCACAACTTTCTTCATCCTTACAAGGATGAGTAACCATGTCTTTCTTCACGTGTGGCATGTATTCTAGTCAATACGTTGATGCATTTGAGATGAAAACATCTTTGATAATTTAGATACTTTCTTGGAAAGAGCAGTTGCAACCTTTGAAAATGAGTAGCTTAGACATGTGTAGGAAGTTTGTATTACCACAATAGTGTTTTAGCATCCAAAATAACCATAGTTAAGTATTCCCAGAATGTAAAAATTCATATTGACCCCTTATTAAACTCTAAGTAATAAAGAATTTTATCTGACCTAAATTTCTCATGCTGATGTTTGACCCATATTCTTATTTTCTCCTTCCTTATAGTTTTTCTTCATAGGCTTTTAGAGATTCCGGTCTCTGTCTTGCAGGATGTGGGTTATCTATATGCCCATAGGTGGGACTGTGCAGGACTGTTCTGGCCCATAGATTTAGGTCAAATCAATAAGCCACTGTCAGCTTTCTGGAAGCAAGCTCTAAGAAACTCAAAAGACAGAACAGTCAGAAATTAGGTCTTTGCCATCAGTAAAGCACTGATTCACTTAATTTGGTTAAAATTCACACCTAAAAGTCTTCTGGAGGTGGATATGCTACCATGTATGTGGTCAAGATGAAAGTGCTATATGAAGTATCTATTTCTTTCCTTCTTCATTATGTTCTCTTTGCTGTGTATCCATTTCAGTGCTTTCTCCCCTTTTAATTTATGCCTGACAGTACAAGCATAATTATTTGTATCCTGATATTTTTAAAGTTGATTTTTAGCTTTATTTTGTCTTTTTGTACTTCATTTCCTTCATTTCACTAAAACTCTGATTTCCTTTCTCTCTCTCTCTAAAGTGAGCTTGGGAAAAACCCTATCTAGTCCTATTTTAACTCTTCCATTTGTTAATTTGAATTGCTTCCTATTTTCTACAAATTGGATATCCCCAATATTATCAACAAAACATTGTATCTTTTCTTGAGTTTTGGCAGTTGTGGAATTTTTGTTTCAGACTGTGAAGTAAAATGTTCCCCTGATATGAGGGAGAATTTTCAGCAAGGGAAGCCAGTTTTGTTACTTAGGAAATGGTCAACATTTCCTCATGCTCATTTTTTGCCTTACTAGGCTACAGACTCACTCTAGCTGGAGTTCATTCAATGAGTGAGCAATGGGTGAGTTGTTGGACCCTGGTAAAGGGAATATTAACTTAGCAGAAATGGGTATTTCCTCCAAGTCTTTGGTATAGAAAGAAGCTTGTAATAAATAACAAGCTCTTGGTAAATACTACCATAGTAAATTGAGCCATTCTATATGTTTGTTGAAATCTTCATGGGCAAGTAAATAAATGTGTTCATTAGCACTGTGTCTCAGGTATCAGTAATCAAATGACAAAGGGTGGCCAGAGTGCTTAGTTCATAGGAATGCTTGATATGGTATTATGATAAACAGCCTTGTACAAAAGGATTTGGATTTGAGCTATAATGCTATTGTGAAATGTCATGTTTCCTGCTACTCACAGGATATTCTTGAGATTTAAACCTTTTGTCATGTAAGTTTCATAAATTTATTGCTTGATTTTTTAAATTATCTTCTCTCAAATATTATATCTATAATTTATATATTATATAATTATTGTTATTTTGGAGATTTACACAAAATCGTGTAAAAAAATAAGGGTAAGTTTCTTTGACGAATGCCATACATTTTTCAGAGTCTATGAAAATCTTTTACTTAGAAACATAAGATTGAAGAATTTAAGAGGGCTGTCATGTGACCATAAACAATTCATTTAATTTCCCCATCACTCACTTTCCACATCTGTGAAAGGAAGATAATTTTGTGTCTATTTCATGGGGGTGTGGTAGGGATTAAATAAGGTGATCTGTTGATCCATCATTAATGGTGATTGGCACAGCATCTGGCACATAAATGCTGAATAAGTGTAAACTTTCATCATTGCCACATGCCCTTCTGGGACTTTTTTCCCACCTGTGGAAGCTGCATTTCTAGTTTAAAACATTTTTTAAAAAATTTCTTTCCTTTGAGTATTATTAAATTCCAATCTTGGAAAATTCTAGAATACTAGCTTTGCCTCTAAAAGGTTTAGTTTTGTCATTTAAAGATTACTTTGATGAAATCCCAGTATTTTACTCATTTACTTTTGAAGACTGTTTTGATTCCTTTCAGTCTTCTTTTCATGGTCAAAAGGTGAAAATCTATCGACCTAAGGAATTCATGGAAACATGGCTGTAGGATGTTGCTTGACATTTTTTGCTTTTAATGGAGATCATTTTATTATCTGCCTTGACTCAGTTATTATGAGTCTCTACTGATGGTTATCTAACAAACCACTGCTCTGCATATTTCAGTGACTAAATGTATACTAATTAGTACAGTGTCGAGGAATACATAGATGGTATAACACTAAACCATTTTGTTCTGCCCTTTTCTCTTTTTGCTCTGGTTCCTGTTTCCCCTTTAAGACTTGATTCCGTAGCAGTGATTTGACGCTTCTGCAAAAGATTGTGATGCTTTTGACAAATGTTAATTGAGAAAGCACTGAAAGCCTAGCTGCATTGTAATCAAAAGAAAATTACAGAGGTTTAACAAGATGTCAGGGAAGTGCTTTACAGAAAGATAGACAGGTTTGAATAGGTTTCTGTAGCAGCTGGCTGGGCATGATGCTTGAGTGATGTAAACAGGCATCTCTCATATGGTCAATAAATTATGCCCTGGAAATGAAACATGTGCTTAAGAAGTTTCTCTTGAGATAGAAGGGAAAAGGAAGACAATGTGTATTTATTGATAACAGGAAGTTCATCAGTAAAGAGCTGGAAAAATGTACAAACTACTTTTTCTGGTAAACTTAGTATATTCCCAATTGTGTCAGAGTTAAATAATATTTGTGGATCACAGTTTAAAGTACTAAATATATTAGTGATAATAGGAACTTTTCTAATAAGTTGTATTATTGTATCTTGTTTCTCATTCATTACATGAAACAATGAATGTTTTATAAGATGATTTTTAAATAGCTATTTTTAGCTTTTTGTACTCTTAATTTAAAATTAAGTAGGTATTGGTAAAACTTTAGTGTGATCTCATTTAACAGAATTTAAATGGTAGTATTAAATTTTTGCTGACAGATTTTTGTTTTCATTTAAATTAATTAAATGATAATTAATGGAGAAAACATTGAACTCCATTGTTTTTTTAACCTGGCTGACTTAACTGTTTGAAAGTAATGTCAAAGGCGGAAAACAGCCTTTACTAAAAACGAAATGTTCTCCTTTGAAATTGTGTAGCTGTAGTTCCTTTTATATTCTCTTTTAAGGGTCCATAAGATTTAGAGGGTTGGTTTCAAATTAGCTATGATTTGATCTAACCTTTTATCTTGATGTCACATTATCACTTCTGACCGGAAGTAGCTGCTGCTGCATACCTACCTTGCAAAAGTAAAGAAGCCAAAGCCTGAGATATTTCCTTACTAAAACAGCACAAGCATGCCAAGCTTATCTTCTGTTTGAATCTAATCAGGCATGCTCAAAAAATCTCTCAAGCAAGAATGGCTGCTGGGTGAAAAGATGTCACAGTATTTATTTCTCTGCAAGATATAGAGTGGGTGACTTTAAATCTTTTTTTATTGTCTTAACTACATATAATTGTCAGACATTTGTCTATATTTTGAATTTGTTTATAGAGTGCAAGTTTATATAAGAATAGAAATTTTCCCACATTATAAACTACCCTTCATTTCCTGTTAGATGGTATATTATGAAGTTATACTTGGAACTGCACTATCAAATATCTCAATGAGAAGTAAACCTAGCACCAAGTCTTACAAGCAAAGCTATAGTAAAATCCAGGTTACCATCTTTTAGCGAACAATATGAAAAAATTGAAATAAATGAACGGATTTCTTCTTCTTCTTCCACCTTACTGATGTTGTCAGTAATTCTGTTGGTTGTGCTGGGGACATATGGACGGGTAGGGTTGTGTTCATGTTTGTGTGTGTGTGTGTGTGTGTGTGTGTGCGCACGCACGTGCACATTCACACATGCCTGCCTGTGTACAAGTGCAAGGGTGTGTTGGAGATTAATACACTCATCTTTTTTCCATAGTGCCTACCACAGCTGTGACAATAACTTCTTCAGCTGAGCTGTTCAAAACCACAGTATCAACCACAAGCACTACTTCACAGAAAGGCCCCATGAGCACAACTGTAGCTGGATCCCAGGAAGGAAGCAAGGGAACAAAACCACCTCCAGCAGTTTCTACGACCAAAATTCCTCCTGTAACAAATATTTTTCCCCTGCCAGAGAGATTCTGCGAAGCATTAGACGCGAGGGGGATAAAGTGGCCTCAGACACAAAGGGGAATGATGGTTGAGCGGCCGTGTCCCAAGGGAACAAGAGGTATTTCCTGTAAAACAGCGTGCATAAAATGTTTCTAAAGTTAGTAAGTAGATTTCAAATTGTACTAAAGTGATTTTATTTGAAGGAAGAGATATTTACAGTAGCTGATTTTATTTTTTTTTCTGTTACTTTGGTAATATAGCATCTATAGATAACTTTAGGATTTTGATACCGTAAACATCAGTTATCAATTGGCTCTGCCTCTCAAAACATAGGGCAAGCTTTGCCTAAGGACCCTAGTGAAGCCCTGTGCAGCTGCCTTTCTCATAAGCATTACTTTGGACAAGTCCCAAGAAAACAAAGGGCTTTTTGTTTGCTTGCTGTAAATGTCTGATATTTCTATTGCTAAGTTTATATTTACTGCTTATAATTGGCATTATACTCTGCTTTTTGTCAGTTATTGTCAACTTCTCCCATTAGCGTTTATTCAAAATTTAACACACAGACTAGGATCATCATAGCCGATTTCCCGAATGCATGCAGAAAAATGGTTTCAATTTCCCTGTTGTTTTCTACATCTGTTGTAGGAACTGCTTCATATCTCTGCATGGTTTCCACTGGAACATGGAACCCTAAGGGCCCCGATCTTAGCAACTGTACCTCACACTGGGTAAATCAGCTGGCTCAGAAGGTGGGTTGGAACGTTTTAATATGATACACATTGGTGATTTAGGGCTTTGACTTCTAACATAAATAATTTAGTTATGTATGTTAAAACCAGCTTCATTGCTCTTTGTTCAGTATAAAATCAAAAATTTATGTATCACTATGTCTGTAAACTACTGAAAGTTACATATATTTGGAGGTATTATGCTTTTTGTGCTGAGCCTTTTAACGAGTATGCCCTTGTTTAATTCCATTCATATTTAGTTTGTTCTCTTTCTTTTGATGTTCACAAGACAAATAATGCATTTGCCTAATAAATCAATATTATTAGGTTTGCAGCTGAATTCACAGAATGCAAACAGATGTTTATATCACATATTATTATGATACAGGAAGTAAAAATGGCTTTCAAAGGTAATGAGACCAGTAACCTGAAATGCTACAGTGTAAGGCAGTGCCCTTTCATTTTCTGCTTCTCCACCCATCTTTCTGAATTACAAACACTAGATAATGAACTTCAGTATCACACTGATTACCTTCCTCTTTAAATTCCAGATCATTGGAATGAATAAGATTTTTAAATAACAAGTTAAAATGGTTACAGTGCAATGAGAGCTGGTTGAAATTTTTCTACTTTTGTTTCTTTTAAGTGTCTGGTTAATAATTTCTTTTGTGTGTTGAGGATCTAAAAGGCTTTAATCTTCTGAGATGAAGAGAAAGTTATTGGTTTCAATTATTTGCAGATATAGACTTTTTAAATTTTTTTAAAAACCACAACAGAGGTACTCAAGGAGAACTAGAAGCCACAACAGAACAGAAAGTATTACTGAGATCATATAAATTGTCATTTCAGATCAGAAGTGGAGAAAATGCTGCTAGTCTTGCCAATGAACTGGCTAAACATACCAAAGGGCCAGTGTTTGCAGGGGATGTGAGTTCTTCAGTGAGATTGATGGAGCAGTTGGTGGACATCCTTGATGCACAGCTGCAAGAACTGAAACCTAGTGAAAAGGATTCAGCTGGACGGAGTTATAACAAGGTAGGAAAAACTCTTCTGCTATTTTAAACTAAGACATTTTGTATGGCAGCTCTCTACGCTCCAGTTTACTGCCAAACTTCTTGCTCCCTTGACACACACTTAGGAACAAAACTTCTAATTTTGGTTTATTTCCCATGGAAGAATTATAGTTGAGAAAAGAGCATCAACCATCCTCCAAAAAAGTGTGAATAATATGAATTACCTAAGAGATTTTAGTTGGTTGCAAACTGCATCTCTCTGATTGTGGTCAATACATTTTTTTTTTCCTTAAGAATGCATTATTTGCACTTGGAGAAATTGTATGTTATACAGTTGATATACTTTGTATGCTAATACATGCAACTCTTATAGTTGCAGCAAAATTGTGACTCAGGAACATTAGTCACTGAAATACTCCTTTCAGTGGCAGCTTTTGGGTGAAGGATAGGTTTCCCTCTGCAGGATAATTTTATATCATTGCTATAACAAAAATTTCATAGTTACTTTAGGTTCATTTCAACCCCAAATCTGTGGCTATCATGGTTCTATAAGGTTAAAAAATAATGAACCTTTTTTTGACCACATTATATATTTTCTCGCTGTCTTTCTCTCTCTTTTTTTTTTAATTGTCAACATGCTTTGCATTAGTATACTTAACAAAATGCAGCTAAAAATTATAAACAAGCACTTTTGACAACTAGTGTGGACCATCCAGAGGACTACCGTAACATGAACTCTGGAACACCAGCTTAAGTTTTGAGGATTCTTCTTTCCTCATTTCAACAGATAAAATCTAACCTCTGATTTTCTTTTCTTTTACCTAAAAGCTCCAAAAACGAGAGAAGACATGCAGGGCTTACCTTAAGGTATCTCTCCTGTGCTGTCACCCTGCTTTCTCCCTTCTTCAGCTACCTGCCACGCTTTATCATCTTGCTGCATGATCCAATGTATTTCAGTCTTTGATAATTATATAATGTGCCCCATATCAGCTGTACAAATGTTGGCTTTTCACAGGTATATTATTCTCAGAATAAGCAAATAATTTATTTTAATGATTTTTGCTGTTTTTCCATTCATCCAAAAGTACAAGAATTTCAATGAAACATCCTCTGAATTGGAAAGTAATCATACAGTCTTTTTGTTTTGTTTTGTTTTTCTTTTGTTTTCATTTCTGTGGACTAAAAAAAAAAAACAACTTGAGTGAAACAGCTATGATATATTCTTGGCAGTTTATCATATCAAAGACTGTGTAGTCATAATGTATGTGCATGAAAAAGTCACTGCTTTCTTATCTTTGTGGTGTACTCTTAAAATAAGCTTTGTCTCAAAATTTTTAGGGGTCATTTCCAGAATTATGTTGATAATGGAGATTGGTTACTAAGAATGAAACATAAATAATGTGACAGTGACATCAGTATATGTTATGTATTGGCTTTTTATCAGGCTAGAGCCATTGCTTGGCTCAGAATACTTCTGTACTCCAGGTGGTTTTCCTTCTTGGTATATTTAAGTACCCAAGTAAAAGGAAGCAGGCTGAGGCTTACAGTGGAATTAAGCCTTCCTAGTTCTGTGTGATAGATCAATGAGATGCCAAATTGTGTTTGATCTGTGGATTCTAGAAGTTCCTTTTCAGGGGAATTTTAGAAGTTTCTTTTCAGAGTTATTTTCTGACCTCATTCTTATGGGGACCATTACCATGGCAAATAAGACCTTGAAGAGCCAATCCATATATCATGATGGAAAAAAATAATAATAATTTTTGTAGTTTCATAACAAAAAGGTCATTTAAAAGTCATAACTCCACTAATTTTAGTTTGCAAGATCTAGAAGAAAAGAATGCATCTCACTAGTTAGTAAAAGACATTGTTGGATCTGCAAACTTTACAAGAACAGGTGGGTGGGAGAGCCTGTTTTTGCCTAGTGAAGTTCTGAGAGTCCCATTTTAGCCTGTCTAATGGGGGCAAAGAAATGACTTCTGAATTCTATATGATTTTTCAAACTCAGGTGTTTGGTTCAACTTTAAGTTATTAGTTAATGTTTGAAATGTAATAATGGGTATGTTGCCAGGACATTTATCTCAGTGGAAGAAGAATATCTCCGCCACCCCTTCTGTAGCAAGAAAAGACTATTTCTGGAATATGATTAGGCTAATGATCATTTTGATCCCTCTAGAAAAGTACAAATGTAATAAATAAGGAGTGTTTCAAATTAATAAAGCATGCCATCAGGGAGTTACATGTATACTTAGTAAATTTCAGTATGACCTTAATTTCTGACCAGTGTGATTTCCAGTGTGTCTCAAATGAGCTTCTCTGTTCAGATAAGAATAATAAAACTCCTTAAATTACAAATCAGAAGCTGACTTACACTATGCAAATGAAGCGGGCTCCTACTTTGTGACAGAAGATTCATTTGTAACTTAGATTAGAGGCTTCAGTCTGTATTTCTTGGTGACTAATGAATCTGGCCTCAGCAGACCAATTTCTGTTCCACTCTAGTTAATGGCTGCTGCAGTATCAGTGTGAGCATTTTGACTATTCTATCTCCCATTAGAGAAAGAAAAAAGTCTTTAACGCCACTTGGAAGTATATTCCACCTGCCAGGAAGGTCGTGGTGGCTCACAAGGCAGACAGAACGAGGGTATTAAGATGGATTAAGCTAATTAATCTTATTCTGACAGTAGCCTCAAACAACTTTTCCCCCTCCTCATTTCAATGTAGTACCTCAAACTAGCATTTTTCATCGTTGTTCTTTATATAATGTAGGTTCTTTTTCTTCTGTGATTATACCAATAGATCAAAACCTTGCATTTGGGGGCTTAACAACACATTATGAGTAGGTAAATGGAAGAGTAAATAAATTTAGTCATTTCAGCTATCTAAGGCATATTTATGGCACAGGTAACAGCAAGTGTCAGTATAAGAGTCTACCTTCAATTGATTAGCTGTCTGGTTTATATTTCTATTGTTATTTTGCATGGTAATAACTTAAACCTACATATGAATATTAATACCTTAGATGCTTATGATGGCTTTATTTGTGCTTTTCTGTTTTCCTTAAATTATCAGTAAAGGCTTTAAATATTTTGCTTTCCTGATTCCTTTAAAAGCAGACCATTGTCTATGAATTAAGGTGTACTTTTAAAGTATTTTTTTAGCTGGATAGGGAATTGGAAGAGTGAAAATATTTTCAGTTATCTGAAAATATTTTTCATTTAATATTTTCAGTTAACTGAAAATATTTTCAGTTAAAACCACCTTGCTTTTTTTTTTCTTAAATGATATAAAGTAGACAAAATCTGATAAAGCAAAATTTTAGCCAATATTTTAGTTCACGTTTAACAAAACTGTATGGCTGAAGTTTAAAGCATAACTATTAGTCTACTCCAGAGAGTAATAATCCATGTTTTCCGTTTAGAACATTTTAGTCTCAGATTATAGAGTTACTTTGTTCAATGTGAACACATATGCAAGAGTCATGTCTCAGGTTAGCCGTTGCTGCTGTTTGTTAATGTTTCTCTTCAACAATTGAGGTAGGATTGTATAAACAGAGATGCATCACTATTCTACACACTCTTTATAATCAGGTAGAAATCTGCTAATCTTCAGTTAGTCCTATTTTGAAATGGCCAGGTGTGTTTCAGCTTGATCAGATAGAGATTGTTCAAGTGTACTTCCATCTTGAAATAAGAGTATATCGTCACAACAGATAAATATTACAATTGTCACTAGTCAGTGATTGGAAATCGCCTTGGTTCCAGAAGCAGTCAAAACTAATGATAGTTTTCTAATGGATGCAGGCAATTGTTGACACAGTGGACAACCTTCTGAGACCTGAAGCTTTGGAATCCTGGAAACACATGAACTCCTCTGAACAAGCACACACTGCAACAATGTTACTGGACACATTGGAAGAAGGTGCTTTTGTCCTAGCTGACAATCTCTTGGAACCAACCAGGGTCTCCATGCCCACAGAAAACATTGGTAAGTGGATTTATTGCCAGGTTTCAGTTTTATTTGGAACATATACATTTAAGAGAATGATATTTTCATTCGGAGCCTTTTATTTCCCATTGTCAAACTTCTCTTTTGTTATTTGTCTGTTAGCAAAAGAAATTATTTGATTATACTATAATAAAATTAATGCAAAAGTCAAAATCTACCCTGTGTTTTTTAAAAGTTGGTTATGTTTATGTTTTTCCCTTGAAAAAATCATTAAAGGAAAAAGTGTAATAGCACTTAAATGCCTTTATATGGATTGCTTAAGTAAGGAAAGTGCTTGCTATGAAACTGGTGATTTTCCCCCCCATTTTATATAATATGTTCCAAATGAATTTAAATTACTTTATGGAATGTGTTCTCCAAGTCAAATATTTTAGCTCACATAACCTAAGCAAAATATGTTAAAAACAACTGCTTTCAGGTAAAAATGGTCAATGAACTACATCTCCCATAATGCAGAATGTTCTTGTTTTAGAGGTTTCAAAGAGCTACAGATAGTTTTAAAGCATAATTTAGAACTTAAATACTGCCAATGAGAGATAGGAATTCTTGACACAAATAACATTTTCTTAATTTAGTTTTAACCATTTAGAATTATTGATAATTTGATAAGTATATCCCTTAGGAAGGTAAAAAAGTTTCTCAAGCATAAATATTAAAACAAACAAAAAACCCAGAAGGGACACACACTACTCTTTCTCCCCCAAGAAGTGCTAACTTCATTAGCAGACTTCATTAAGTCTTCCTCTCTGGGCTACCATGTCTTATTGCCTGTCTGTGCTTATTTATTTCATAGAAATTTCTATTAAAAAATATAGAGGAGAAATGTAATAGAAAAAGTAGACAAATTTTGACAGTTTGATTTGAATTTAGAACTTTATTTAAAATAAGTGAAATTTTCAAAAGAAATGAAATATTAAAATCACTTGTTCATGAGGGTGGGAATGATAAATCACTTAAAAACATATAGGTGATTCTATGACCAGTGTGATTCTGCAATCTGTACAATTAGAAAAATGAGAAATGATACCCCAATGATACAAATGTATGAATTGCCAAGATCATTGTAATGTCATGTAGATAATAAAAAAAAGTAAAAATAAAAATAAAAACCTTCAAAGTAAATGAAGTCAAGATAATTTGGTCTATTATGATCTGAAATACGTAGTTATGAGGAAAGGGATATTTTAGCAAAGCCTTAGTAGAAAATAAAACTCCCCTTCTTTGTCAAAAACTTTCATTATTTTTAAGGGTTAATTTAAATTATTGACCTAATAAAATTCCTAAGATAAAGATTGAAGAATACTTTTCAAAGGTTTCCAGTGACTTGTAAGGACAGCAGGATGTAGACTTGATTATCTTAGAGATAAGTCATGGAAAATATTACTGGACATGCATATTATGACCTCAATTTGTTTTCTAAATATTTTGAAAGTTATTTTAAAAAAAGCTAGAAATAGAAAAAAAAAATGAAACTGAGCTAAAATTTTCCTTTTCTGCTTTTGACCAGTGTGCATTAAAATTTGAGGGGAAGGTTGAAGTTCTAGTTAGTCTTTCAGATGTGTGACACATTGTTATATGTCTCAGTTTGAGATATACTCCAAAAAATGAAATATAATTTTCTAAAGGATTATTCTTCTTGTTAATTTTTAATTTTATGAAACATTATGTGTAGAGATTGTTCTAGAATGTAGTATACATTTTACTGACATCCCTCAAATAATGCCTAGAATTTACTGTTCTTATGCTAATTACTCAAAAATTATTAATATGAAAGTGATTTTACATATTCTAATAAAGTTCCTAGAACTTTTATTTCCTAGAACTTGCATTGTTGCTTTTGATATAAAAACCCAAATAGGCTAGTAATTCCCTTATGTCCTCACTCTCTTGAAGCCCTTATTTAAATTTAGGGCTTGGCTATAATATTTTAAATTATTAAACAATTTTATTTTCCCCTACTAATTTCTCTTTAAATCCTTAGCGTGGTTTACCCTTATAATACATGACCTCATAAAAGTGGCATAATTGTATCTGATGGTGACATTTTATAGTCTCACTTTGGAATATAATAAGGATATTAAAATCTCTACAGTTTGATGAGTTTTTTCAAAAAAATATAAACCTATATAATCATCAACATGGTTAACATTTTTATTACTCCCCAAATCAGCTCCTTCATCAGCCAAGGATGGGCTGTCTGTCATCTGCTTTCTGTCACCATGGTTTAGTTTTTTCTAAGATGTTCAGTTGGATGGAGTTGTATAGTGTGAACTCTTGGATCTTGCATCTTTTATGCAGAATAATACCCTTAAGATTTTTTCATGTAGAGGGAGTGTCAGTAGTTCAGTCTCTTATATTCCTGGGTGTTATTCTATTACAAAGACACAACACCCCAGCATGTTCATTCAACTTTTTAAGTGTTTGATTTATTTCCACTATTTTGCTGCTGTTTCCCCCAATAATCTCCATCAGCAACATATGAAAGTTCCACTTGTTCTTCTTATTCACCACCAATTTTAGCAGCCTTTTTTTCTTAGCCATTATAGTGGCTTGTAGTAATATCTCATTGTGGGTTTACTTTACATTTTTACGATGTAAGGTAATTTTTCATTAATAACTTCTTTTTCTGTGTTTATTGGCAATTAAACATATGTTTCAAATTTAATGATGTAATGATGTGACTATTCAGTTCTTTTGCTCATTTTTAGTTGGGTTTGTCTTAGTGAATTATAAGGATTCTCTACATGTTTTTAGTATAAATGTTTTGCCAGATAACATGTATTCTGAATGTTTTCCTCTGAATATAACTTTTCTTTTTAATTTTTTATTATCTTGTGAAGAGCAAAAGTTTCTAATTTTGATCAAAAATTTTTATTACCTGCTTTCAACAACATGTAGCTAACACTGTTTCATTTATTCTTGTCACTATTTTATTGTTTTACAGCAAATAGTAGCATCCTATCATTGTGAAAAACTTATTTTGTATCCCATATCATTTCAAAAGCCACAGTACTGTTATCACATTGAAAAAAATGAGCAAAAATAGGTTCAAATAATGACAAAATATGTTTATGTTTACTTGACTTTTGTAAATGTGTTGATCCCTGCTTTGTTTGAATTAGATTTCAAACAAATTCATGTAATATATAGAGATTGAGTCTCTTTTAATTAAAACACTAGATTTTTTCTTTTCTTTTTCTTTTATTTTTTTAACACTTTTTAATTTTTGTAAAAGAAATCAGGTGGGTGAGTTGTCCTGTAGAATTTCCCACATTCTAGATTTGGCTTATTTCATTCCCAGAATACCATGTAACTATGCTTGGTAAACCCATAATCAGAAGTAGAGTCCTGTGGGTATGTGAGTAGGATTTGAAGCAGGGGTGCTCTACTACTGAGTTATTTGCCTTCCCAGTCCTTTTCATATATATATACACACACACACACACATTTTTTTTTAAAATTTTGAAACAGGATTTCTAAATTTCTCAGACTAGACTCAAGCTTATGATCCTCCAGCTTTAGCTTTGTGAGTAGCTGGAACTACAGGTGTGCATCTATATCTGCCCTGCCCTGCAGATCTAGATCTAGAGTCTTTTTAAAAATATTTTTTTTTAGTTGTTGATGGACCTTCATTTTATTTATTTATATGTGGTTATGAGAATCGAATTCAGTGCCTCACACATGTTAGGCAAGTGCTCTGGCACTAAGCTACAAACCCAGCCCTAGATCTAGAGTCTTAATTAGGCAAGGTTTTAAGTATTTTCTCCTGTGGAACTTTCTAGGGCATCATATTATGAGGCACTTAACACTTGTTTCTGCTTGTGACTATAAGATCAATTAGATAGTTAAGGTGTTAGCAGCCTGATCTGTCCATTGTAAAATTTCCTTTCACTTATTTTCAGAATGGTCTTAGTAGCTAGGGTGATTGGAAATCCCATAGTCACAGAGCTCACAACAACAGACTTACTCTTCATGCTGTGCAGCTTGTTGAGGATGGGCTCTGGCCCTGCTTCCTGTTGTCTTCTATCCAGCTCCATGATGCTTTCACCTTGGGGCCCAGGTCAACAGAGCAGCTCCTACTAAGACCCTGTAGGTCTCCTGACAGAGGTCAGCTCCTGGGTACTGTTCCGTTTTCATCTCATTGAACCCAGTACTCTCTGATGAATTGGAGAAAAACATGACAGAGAGATATATTAAAATTCTGTCTGCAGTGTTAGCTGTGAGACTCTGAATGGCTCTCCTATGAACCAAGTGTATTCACTTCCAGAAATCTGTTGAATAAGGCATGTATTATTTCAGTAGTAAGATAGTATAGATACTATGGTACATCTGTGCACCACCTGAGCCACATCATGGTATTTTACCATATTCATTTCACATTTTTTTAAAAAAACTATAATCATAGATAATGTAGAAGTTCTCTGGTTTCCTCATTTCTGATCAGATAAAAAGGGGGTGAATTATCATCCTTACTTTATTTTCTAGCACTGTTAAGCTTCTTATGTATGTATTTATGGTTTCACTCTGTTGCCCAGGCTGGCCTCCTAACTCCTGGCCTCAAGAAGTCCTCCTGTTTCAGCCTATCAGTATATTTTTTTTTTTTAATTTTGCACTACTGATGTGTATGTATAGTAACTTCCCCCAAGTTTTTCATTGATTTCACACTATAAATATGATTGTAAAATTTTTTCTTACCACTTTTTAATTTATACATGCTATGTATATACATAATTTATACATGCTATGTATATATCTATTTTTTATTTGGTGTAAGAATACATCAAAATTATTGTATTGATAGATATTTTAGTGGCTTCTATTTCTGCACTTAAACAAGGAAAATTGCAGTGAAACTTTAAAATATCTTGTTAATATGTGTGCCTTTGGAGACATACGTACACACATTCTGAGATAGAATTTTTGAGTGATAAAGCATGCCCATTTTTGCTTTACTAAATAATGCCAAATTGTTCTCTAACCTTTTTTTTAACGAATTTACATTCTCACTAGTAGGTAGTAGCAATAAGGCATTATAAAATTTTCCTAACATTTCATCGTTGACATAAATTTGGTTAATCTAATGAGTTTGAATTGATCCCATTAGTTTATTAATTTGCAGTTCCCCTGATTACTTAATGCTTTTGATTCTTTCTTAATGTGTTTATTTGCCTGTTTTGGTGTCTCTCCTGTGAATTCATCCTCTACAACCTTTTATTTTTTTATTTCTTTGTACTTCTATGCATTCTGGACACTAATTCTTTGAGGATTATATAGTCTAAAAACACTTCTCTGTCTGCTTTCTTTTAACTTTTCATAAGATGTCTTACTGCATAATACTGAAGTCATATTTATTAATCTGTTTTTTATGGTTGGTATTTTGGTATCTTATTTAAGAAATTTTCCCTTGGGCATCTGTTTTGCCTTTTTACATTTGTCTTTAATACACTTTTTATTTTGAGACAAAGTAGGTCACTGATTTGGTTTTGTAAATGAATAACCAGTGCTTTCTACACTTGTGTTAGTGCCTATTCATTCTTTTCCCCACAGATTTCTAATGATATCTCTGTCATATGCCAAGTTTCTATACATGTCAACTTGTTTGACCAGTCTATCATTTGCTGCTTTTGCTTCGTATTGTTTTGTTTTCAATATTGCTAGTATTTCTTGAGTATTTCAACCTTGCTCCTTGAGGAAAAGCCTTGGCTGCTTTTTGGTTTGTGTCTTCCATATGAATATTAAAGTCAGTTTGTGATGTTACACACATATACCTATCCCCTCCCACACAGAATCTTAGAGGAATTTTTATTAGAAGTAGATTTACTTTGTAGATTGTTTTCCAAAGAAATAACAGATTGATCTGCTGAGTTTGCTCAATTAAGACAATTACATAATTTTGTTTTAGTCTTTTCATAAAGTTAAGTATTTTTCTCATTAATATCTTGTGCCTTTTTTAAAAATTAGTTTTTTCCCCCAAAACTTATACTTGTTGTTTTTGTTACAAATAATAGATCTTTTTTGAATTACATATTCTAATTGTTTGACACTTGATATGTGGAACACAACTGATTTTGCTGATTGCAGCCTTGCTAAATTCTTCTTATTTTGATAGTTGGTGTACTCTGTCATGATTACTACATAGTTAATTATGTTTACTATAAATAAATAACCACTTTTTTGTAGTCTTTATGTCTTTTGTGTTTGATGAATTACCATTTTAGATAAAGTTCTCTAGTATAATGCTAAATAAATCCTGTTGATAGGGATCATTCTGACTTTAAAAGGAATGTGCGTTCGCTGTAGTTTTTGAATCGATAACCTTTATCTGACAACAAAACCTTGGTCAACGTGTTTTTCTTTTAGTCTTATTATTTTGTAAAGACTTTTTATATTAAATGAGTGTTAAAATTTACTGAATTCTTTCTACTTATAATTTTTCTTTAATTTCTAACTAGGTGATATAATTGTACATTTTCTAATGTATTAATTTCTGTGTGTTGAGTTAAAACAATTTGTTTGAGATATTATCAAGTGTATGTCTATTTTATAAAAGATTTTTAACAGTGTCATTATCCTATTGTTTCATTTCTTGCGTTGTTTTATTTATTTATTATAGAGGTCTTTTGAAATGAATTGGAACACATTCTTTTTCTGTTTTCTGAAACAGAAAATCTTGTTTAAACCCCAGTGTGTACTTGGTTGATTTTATCTAATTGCTATAAAGTATTTTAAAGTGTCTTTATTTTATTTTTTTTGTGTGTGAAATTTCACTTTCCCACAAAACGGCAATTATTGATTGATACAAATTGTTGTAAAGTTGATTAATGCATACTCTTATGGCTTAAATATACCTACTTAAGTTCTGTATTAATGATCCTGTTATTTTTGAAAATTCAAACATTTTTTTCTTTACTATGGACATAATTTTTGAACTTTAATAATTTGTTGAATGAAATTAACTCTTTGTACATGTATCCCTGTGCACTGGTCCTTCTTTCCTCTTTCCTTTTTCTCTGTTTTGAGACGCTGTCTCTCCATGTTACTTACCCAGGCTGGTTTCACGTTCCTAGGCTCAGGTGATATACTCCTGCCTCAGTCCAAGTGCAGGGCTTACATGCTAAATCTGTACATGTGTATATGTAGAATGGTTGAATGTTTTATGAAAACTCAAAAGAATTTCTTCTTTTAGTCTGTCATTTGTCTTGTTTTGAGGATGACTAAGAATTATAATCCCTTTCAGTGTAAAAAGGAGGTAGTATATATTTAATTGATTGATTTTGTTTTTTTGCTATAGAGGGGTGCTCTACCATTGAGGTACATTCCAATTTTTTTTTTTTTTTTGAGACAGTTGCCCATTAAGTTGCCCAGGCTAGTTGCAAAGAGCTCCTCTTTACTCAGCTACTCAATTTCCCCAGTAGCTGGGATTATACGCTTGCAGTACCAGGCCTGTCTAGACATATGTTTTTGTCATTCTTATTCGCTTTATATTCTCAGCCCACACACGTGGAATCTGATATGAGGAAAAGAGATCATCTACCTACCACATGTTTAATATTTCCAAACATGAGTCAGTAAAATAAGTACCTCAACCAGTTTCTGCAGCTGATAGAATTCTAGGCATTACATGATTCTCATTATGAAGTTGTATTGTAATGATTTGACATGTGGTTTAATTGCTTTTAAAAATCTTTTGAGTATCAGTGTTTCCAGATTTACAGCTAAACCTGTATGTTTACGAAACATTTGTGGAAGATTAACAACAACAAAAAAATTAGCATCCAAAAGTTTTAGTAGTTCAATAGAAGTACATGAGCTCATTCTTATAAAAAGAAAGGGAATGAGTGAGTTCATCAGATTTGTGTGTATGTATGTGTTTGCGTCTAGGCAAGAGTAGTTATCCAATGATATAGTTATTAAAGAAGATGAAAGTCAGAGGAAAAGATATAGACTGTAGTTTTGAATTATTATTTTAAAATGTTGCTTTTAAAAAGTTAAATAAATATCAATATAAAGCATGGCGATGTTTAATATAACATTAAACAGCCAATATTTATGTTGATAGTAGTTACTATTAATTATATTTTTGAAATGAAGTAAAGCTTAACACCCTCATTGTTGATCAGATAAATGTTCTCAATCTTCAATGTTTTCTTTATGTGATTTTCAATTTGCTACTTCTTTTGAGGGTTTGAAGTTTTTTTGTGTGTTTTGTTTGTTTGTTTCTCTGTCCCCCCACCCCCCCAACCCCGTTGCAAATTCTTACTTGGCGTTGTAGTACTAAAATAGCCAGAGTAAATGACAAGGCATGACTGTATTCAAAGAAAAACTTTATTGATAAAAACTATAGATCCTATTTTGCCCAACCTGAAGTATGTAAGATTAACAGTTATTAGTGAGACTTAATGGGAAGTTTTAACATCATGACAGTCATTTTCTCACAAACACTTTCTTTCCTGGCCTCGATACTTTCAAAAATAAGAAAAATATAGTATTAAAATCTTGATCTCTGTAATTTTATATCTTAAAATGTATCATTTATGTAAATAAATAAATGTACGAACAAATTTATACTTCTACCACTGCAAATGTGGTTATTGAAAAGTTATTTAACAAAGAGATGCAAAAGTATCAATTCAAAATATTTTGTTTAACTTCATGATTTAAAAAAATTTTGAAAGTTTTTTTTTTTTACTATAAATTTATGCAGTGTTCACACTCCTAGGATAAAAGTTTGGAATTGACTCATGACAAAAGCCATAAAAATATGAAAAAAATGTCAAAATGATTATACAAAATATTTCAGAAGGTTTTAAGATCTCTTGGAGTAATTTAGTATTTTTGATTTTAAAATCTAATAGTCAAGTTTTGCAAGTACTGTAAAAGGAAGCAGCTTCTGTGCAATTACCATTTGCCTCTTTTAATTTAAACTAAAGAATTCTCCTTTTTTCCCTCTCTTTTGTCCTTGGCCTCATCCAGTTCTGGAGGTTGCAGTCCTCAGTACAGAAGGCCAGGTCCAGGACTTTAAGTTTCCTCTGGGCATCAAGGGAGCAGGCAGCTCAATCCAACTCTCTGCCAACACTGTCAAACAAAACAGCAGGAATGGTAAGACAAACTTTTCTTTAAATTTGTTTTTTTTGTTGTTCAGTTAAGCCTACTCTAAAATATTGATCTCTATATCATGTACAACTGCAAGAATGAGATCCTAATTAGAATGTTTTACTCTATGTATGGATAATTTGTCAAAATGCACTCTACTCTCATATATTCCAAAAAAAGAACAAATTAAAAAAGAGAAAGAAAAAAAATTAAAAAGAGAAAGAAAAAAAAATACAATATCATTTGACCCTGACTGTAACAAAAGTGTCTTAAAAATTTTTAAAGTATGTTTAAAATAATGCCCCATACATGTACACTTAAATAAAGATTCTGTAAGGATTTTTTTAAATGTATTCTCATTGTCTTATTTTATACATAAGCATATTTCCTAAAAGTCATACGATGGTTTCTACCTTCCTAGGGCTTGCAAAGTTGGTGTTCATCATTTACCGGAGTCTGGGACAGTTCCTTAGTACAGAGAATGCAACCATAAAACTGGGTGCGGACTTTATTGGTCGTAATAGCACCATCGCAGTGAACTCTCACGTCATTTCAGTTTCAATCAATAAGGAGTCCAGCCGCGTGTACCTGACTGATCCTGTGCTTTTTACCCTACCACACATTGATGTAAGTTAATGTATGCTAATGAAGCAGTGGAAGGTTATAAAACTAGAGAGGAAGGGAAGTAAAGCTGACATGCTGGGGATGCAGAGAGGGAGATGGAGACTATGGGAGGGACACAGGACCTTTCCATTTGAATTTCAAATGTTGGACTAGGTCAGAGACACAAGTTTATTTAAGTCTGTGAACATAAAATTAAATGAGCCTGGTTCAGTGATTATTAGAACTTAAGTGTATTCTTAATGAAAGCTAATTCAGTAATCAACAGGAAAATGTAAATGACTCTAATTTGTTTTCAAATGAAAATTAACTCTTACCTTAGCAGCAGGATAGCTGTGTGTTAACTCTTAGGACTCTGCTTTTGTAGAGGGGCAAATCATGGTTGTTGTTGTTATTTTTAAATTGGTTTTATTGATCATATTTGGCAGGGCTGTTATTAAGTATTGTGTTTCAAAAGTAGAAGACTGAGATGTGATTCCTCTGCTGTACCTCAAGTTGATATTTAAATACCTACTCTATGTTCCAAGTAGAGGGAATGAGTGCCTACAGATAACCAAGTAGATTTACAGAATTGACAAAAATAAATCGTGCAGTCATGGTCCTCGTGTCATATCTGCTTCAGTTGATTTACTCTTAAGAGCCTTGATGTTCTGTGTGATTCAAATGGTTGCTAGAGTATCACTTAGAACTAACCAAAAATGGGCCTCAAATTGAAAGTGGAATTTTAGACATTTGTACCTTACAGAATTTTCTCAGAAAAAAAATTCATGGCTCTAATTTTGTCAGAAAGGGGGGGGGGAATGATTCTAATGTACTGTCAGTATGTAAAATCATAAGATGGAAATTATAATTGTGTAAAATGGGTCTTTGGTAATTTAGAGTACACTTTAGAGTGTTTCGGACTATAAAGCCCCTTTTAAGCTACATGTCTGCCTTGAATAACATAGTCCACAATTTTGCTGATGAAAAACTTTATAGTCCGAAACATGCAAAGTTTAATCTAAATTACCTTTTACACATATTAAACAATTGCCATTGCCATCTTAGAGAGTAAAATCCTAATTTTGTCTTGTCATTTTATTTCCCAGCCTGACAATTATTTCAATGCAAACTGCTCTTTCTGGAACTACTCAGAGAGAACTATGATGGGATATTGGTCTACCCAGGGCTGCAAGCTGGTTGACACAAATAAAACTCGTACAACATGTGCATGTAGCCACCTAACCAATTTTGCCATTCTCATGGCCCACAGGAAAATTGCAGTAAGTATTTGCACTTCTAATTAGTATCAGGGAAAAAACCTCAGAGATTCAAAACAGCTTGTATTGTAGTCCTGTTTCTTAGGTGCTTATCGTAACTAAAAGCAAAGTACACATGAATTTCTAATAGTTTCTACACTATCCATATATTTTAAGTAGTAGTATCACTCTGTTATTGTTTTTTGTTGTTGTTGTTGTTTTTTGTTTTTGTTTTTTTTTTGGTACAAGGGATTGAACTTGGCCACTCTACCACTGAGCCACATTCTCAGTCCTATTTTTTTATATCATTTTTAAAATTTTTAATTTGTTATATATGACAACAGAATGCATTACAATTCTGATTGCACATATAGAACACATTTTCATATCTCTGATTGTACACCTCAGTCCTGTTTTGTATTTTGTATATCTATCACTGATATATATATATAAAAGTGCCTGGCTTTTGCTAAGGCTGGCTTTGACCTCCTGATCATCCTGCCTCAGTCTCCTGAGCTATTGGGATTATAGGCGTGTGCCACCGAGCCTGGCTGTAATCGTTTCTTCTTAAAATCATGCTCTCCAATGTCACTTCATGCAATTGTTGCAACTAGGGGTTTAAAAATGAATACCAATGGGTCACACAACAAACAAAAGACTAAAATTTAGCATGCCCTTCCCATTTCAAATGTTGCAATCTCCTTTTAAGACTTTTACCACACACTATGTAAAGTTTCATATTTTTAAAAGCCTGAATGACATCAGGAATACATCTTGGTATTTCTTCTTATGAGGAGAATGTTAGTGAGAAGATAAAAAATACCTTCTGAATTATAGAATTAAAACTCAGGTTTATTGTTTACTCAGCTCTCAGTATGAAAGCATGTAGAAACCCAAAGAGAAAATGAAATTAAAACTTGGCTTATGTGTGTTATCCTATAAAATCTTTACAATGTTGATTATTTTTAATCATAATCAAGCATTCTGTATTTTTATCATGAAAATGTTTTCTGTGTTTTTGCAGGTAATTATTCCGATCATTATTTTAAAATATTTGTGCTTTTGAGTTATTTTCTAGGGAATATCTCCCTCTTTCATAAGTCATTCTTCATCAGTATTATAGTCAATGAGATAATAATCTCTTTTTAGTAATGAGCCCTGTTTTAGCTCACATGGATATTATTCTTCAGAGTTCAATATTCAACAAACTGTTTTGCTTCTCGTTAATGTTCTGTAGGAATACTAGTGTTCTTCATGTCTTTTTATTTTATAGTATAAAGATGGAGTTCATGAATTACTTCTCACAGTCATCACCTGGGTGGGAATTGTCGTTTCCCTTGTATGCCTGGCTATCTGCATCTTCACCTTCTGTTTTTTCCGTGGTCTACAGAGTGACCGTAATACTATTCACAAGAACCTTTGTATCAACCTTTTCATTGCTGAGTTTATTTTTCTAATTGGCATTGATAAGACAAAATATACGGTAAGCACCTGTTAAGATTATTGACCTTGGATCTTTGAAAATTCTTTAAATAGGTATGAATTTGTGTATGAGGTTGCTATTAATTGTTGACATTATAGTTTGTTAAAACTGACATGGTAATATTGAAGTATAATTTGTAATTAATTAAAAAACAGCTCAATCATGAAGTAATATTATGAATTAATTTATTTTGTTATTAAGGTACAATTGTGTTTTCTGGGTTATTAAGATGTGTAATTTGAATAGAAGAATTCTAGGGTACTGAAAATATACTAGTTTTTAATTCCTATTGTGCTTACATAGTCATTCTGACTAGTGAACTTCTTCATATTTAGAGCAATGTATTTGTTATCTTGAGGTCTCAATTGTCAGAAACAGAATTTAATTAGTTAATACATCATCCTATATTCTTCTGTGTTGGAATGAATTTAAAGAATGTTCCATATAAGATAGGACAATAATCCTACTTAATTAAGGCCAGGGTATTTATCACTAGAATAAGCAGTTTAAATTTTTGTTATATAAAACAGAAAATATATTTTTCGCAAGTATTTTAGAAAATATAAGACTTATAAAGCAAATCATAGATAAGCAGAATAGTTAGATTTTATAATGGATAATTTGAGAAGACATTAAGATTTGTTTTCTATTTGATATTCAGTTTGACCCAAAACAGTAATGTCTTACCCCGATGAAATCTAGCACACTTGCTGTTATTCTATGCAAGTGTTATATTCTTCATATTTGGCAGTGTTTTTTAACTTATGTTTCCAGTTATGAAAAGTGATATCCAATTTTTTTTGAGAGAACAGTAGTTTTAAGTAAAGATGTGTTTATAAAAAACAGGATTTGTGTGTGAGTATTTTATAGTTTTAGCAAGCTATTTGTATTCATAAGTTTTCTTTCTCTCTCTCTCTTTTTTTTTTTTTTTTGTTCTTTCCTTACAGATTGCATGCCCAATATTTGCAGGACTTCTACACTTTTTCTTTTTGGCAGCTTTTGCTTGGATGTGCCTAGAAGGTGTGCAACTCTATTTAATGTTAGTTGAAGTTTTCGAAAGTGAATATTCAAGGAAGAAATATTATTATGTTGCTGGTTACTTGTTTCCTGCCACAGTGGTTGGAGTTTCAGCTGCTATTGACTATAAGAGCTATGGAACAGTAAAAGCGTAAGTAATTGCAAGTGACCTGAGTGTTTTTCAAGTGAATAATTTTTTAAAGCCTGTTAGCTGTCAGTGAGGGTCCCTGACAGACTAAAATAGCATCTGAAAGCTTTATTGGTAAGAGAATGGGCATGCCGTGCACAAATTACAATCAAGTCTTTTGTAATTTTCTAGGTTCAGAGGATTTGTACTCTAGTGAGGCAGATTCTACATTATGGACTTTCTTTTTAACACAAAAGATTGACCTGAAACAAATTGAAAGAGTAAATAACTTTTTGGCCTTAGAAGATATTAAGTAAAAATTCTTCTGAACTTAACGAATCTGACAGGTTTAACTACTCAGTTTTAAGCTAATGCTTCATTAGCTCTCTTTGTGCAGCCGACCCTGTAGCTAACTCTTGTTCTGAATGGTGACACTAGCAGCACATTCCATCCCATATGTTTAACTTTGATTATTTTATGAGGCAGTTAGAAAAGGATTAAAATAAGTCTCTGTCTTTCATTTATAAAAATACAGTTATTTACAGAAAGTAACAGAAGGTAGACATGGCCATGTTTCTAAGGATTTTATTTTATTAGGGGCATGAATGTGCCTTCCAATTCTGTTTATTTTTTTTTTCCTTTGATAAAACTAGTTACATGAAGATTCTTTTGGAGTAGAGAAAGCTTTTTGACTGAAAAGATGATGAAAAACAAAAGAAATTCAGCAGGGATTCAAGGTTATATCAAAAATGAATCACTAAGTAAAATGTCTTAATAAGTTAATGCATCATTTACTGTAATTCTCTGCAAGTTCTGTGCTTTGATTTTTTTTCCCAGTATTTGTCCATTCCTAATGAAGGCATATTTATGCTGTTCTGTTTCATAACAAACATGACATCTGAACATTTTTTTCCTTGTCTGTTTCATAGGGCTAAACACTTTATTTCACATAGATCTGAAAGGCAAATTTTGATGATTACATATAGCACTTTAAAATGATGAGGCCATTTGGAATTTGAGATTTCAAATCTTTCTTAATAAGATTAAGAGTCCTTAAGGATTTAGGGGTGGGTGGGATTTATTTTTTTCCCTGTATAAGCATAATTTTGTATGCTTTTGTCAGGTAAATAACTTGAAATGGAAAATGGCAGGTTGAAGTAAATTGCTGTCCTTTGTTAAATTCGCGCCAACTCAGAATTATTAGAATTGTTCTTGTCCATAGTGAATTTTCAAAAGCAAATTTAGAGATTGTTTTGTGTTTGTTAAGTTTTAAAAATTTATTTTTCTTGTGATGTTAAATATCCAGTGAGGCTACTTGATACATATTCTTTTGTTTTCAAAACAGTTGCTGGCTTCGTGTTGACAACTATTTTATTTGGAGTTTCATTGGACCTGTCACCTTCATTATTCTGGTAAGAAGACTCTGTTTTCCCTTTTGTTTTAGCTGCTACTTTAGAAATATTATTCAAAAATAACTTAGTTTATGGTTAATTTATATATTCAAAAATTATATGGACATTCTATGTTACAGGATAATATTATTTATTATATTTTAAATATTACATCATTATCGTGTTTATACACTTGCTAATTAACTTTCTGAAAATCATATCTACTGAAAAATACTATTTCCCATTTCTAATTAATTGTGTCAAAAAATCTAAAAGAAATACTTATAAGCCATGTTATGAATTAAATGAATGTTTTAGAAAAGTGAATTAACATTACCATAATTGTTACCTTAATGTCAACATAGTAATTTAGTAGTTTAAGTGAATGTCCATACCCTAAATTGTTTTAAGATATATTAAAGTTTAAAAGTTTAGATTAATAGAGGACTGTTAAGCGAATTTTAAACTGATTGGGAATAAAATAAACTTTTTTAAGACTTAAAATACCAAACAAGGACTGGGGATGCAACTGATTTTTAAGAATTTTTATTTTTAAATGAATTTGATACAAGTTAAGATTCGTAACATTAAGGTTTTTTTTAAACTTCTTACATTATCCTTAGTCATATTTCAATTATACTAAAACAAAAGAATGTAACTAAAGCATTAAGAATTGGTATTGTTAATCATATCTATTTAATAACTAGAAAACAAGTTGAAACACAAGCTTTAATATTACCTTTATCTTTTTATTGCTATGTTCAGGATTTTGTTTCTTTATTTCAAAAAATTGGCACATGAGCTTCTTATGATATTTTTATAGTTAATTCGTGTTTCCTAAAGTTTGGAAAACCTTTTAGTAGTTGAAGGAAACTTTAAACCACTCAAGTGTATGTGCATTTTTATTCTCATTAAAATTAATTATTTTCAACAATTGTATTTACAAAGCAAAATAAAAATACGAGATGGATGTTTATGTGAATTAAATCAGTAAAATATTCTCTAGTGTTCTTAGGTGAGCTAATTTCTTATCAGAATTATTCAATCCAGATAACTATTTCAGTTTTTATTCTTAGTGTGTGTATGTGAATACAGCCTCAGTTTATCTTGAATTAATGACAGACAATTGACATGAAGAGGTATGATCTTTAAAACTACAGGCTTCTCTTTTCCCCTAAGTCCTTGGCCAAACACATTTATACTTTGGAAACTATAAAGACCACTTTAGGGATATTCACACTATAAAAATGTCATATGTTTACTTCTGTTGTACTGAAGTTTTATTTTATATTTATAAAGATAAGTACCGACTTTAAAACATTAAAAAGAAAAAGAAATTTTTATTTGGCAAAAAGAGCTAATGTTCACACATACTCAGTTTTGAGGAAGAAAAGAGGTAAAACACATTTTATTTGTATTACCCATTTAAAAAGACAGCCTCATATTAATTAGACTCTTATTATTATCCTCTACCAAATCCTTTAGGCTGAGATGTGTGTAGGGCTTTTAGAACATTTTCCTGAACTTAAAAACAAACAACAACAACAACAACAAAAAGAAACCAGCAGGTAGCAATCACAGTATACACCTCCTTGGAATTCTTCTCCTCAGTTGCCTTGCCTTCTAATCCTCCCAACACACAGTGAAACTAAGTGTGGTACAAGAGTGCCAAGCAATCTTGCAAAACACCATGCAACCTAAACTAAAATATAATTGTACAGCATAAGCTTGCTGAAAACACACTTACCTACATTTATTCTCTGACAATACATTTAAAACTCAATTCAGACATACATCTTAATAATATAAACTATATTGTATACTATTCATTTATGTTCTATTCTTATAACAAAAAATAGAAAATATAGGGTTGCATTTCCAGATTTTTTGAATTGAAACCATTTAACTTCCTAGTATTAAATAAGTGTACATTCTTAACAATAATGTTCTATGAAGAAAAATAATATGCTAAGGAAGATAAAACTTCCCACTTCTGCATCTCTATAGAATGTCTTGCCTACAGGCACTGGAGTTATTATATCTATGAGAAAAGTGCTGGTAAGTAATGAGCAGTGGGAAACCATTAGTATGCCTGAAATGGTTTAATGAAAGCTTGGATCATGACACGTCAGGAGCTGTTCTTATCATTTGGACAGCTCCATCTGCATCATTAATAATTAATTCAGTTCAGTAAGAGTTCAGCTCACACACTCATTTAGAAATCTTCTTCAGAGAACACCTCTCTGGCTGCTAGTCCCAGAGAGAAATAGGTTTCTGCTTGGCTAATAGCAAAGATCTAGAGATACAAGTACAGTTTTAGAGTTGCATTTGCCAGGTAGCAAAAGCTCCAGGGAGGACAAAAAGGGTCAGAACATGTGCAGTTCAGCTAGGTTACTTCAGAGTGGTGTTTCTGTTCTTCTGTCTTATCATATCCATGTCAGCACTGCAAGCTGTGGAATGAATTTTAAGCTGCTAAGCTCAGACGGATGTGATTCAATTGAGCAGGTTGATGACCATAAAGCAAACTGTGCTCTCCTATAATCTGTGGCACCTTTTTCTTTTTTATAAACTTCTTTGTATTTTTATTTTATCAAATGGGTGATTTTTAACTATGCCATGTTATTAAGCAGCATTGGATGTTTTTTGTAGCAAACTTTTCTGGCAGGCTATTTTAATAATTATTTTTGCAATTATTATTTGGGAAGTGTTGAAAGAATGATATTGGTCAGTGGATCAGAAAGAATGCCCTAGTTTGGTGATTTAGTCTTTTTAGCTATATAGGGGGAAAATATTTTTTTCTTCTGGATTTACTCCCACCCTTTCACATAGTACTGTATGAAGACATTCCCACCGATCTATTTATACCTGCACACATACAGGCATAGACCAGAGTTAATATTTGATTAATTTTTGACTGAACAAATTGCTTCATCTCTAAAATTAATCATGAGCTTATGGGTTGACATACATACCTAACATAATCCTAATAACCTATACTTAAGGGTGACTTCTATGTGAATAATTGAGTAACTACATGTACTTACCAGGTTAGACAAATCTTTGTGTGTGTCAAATGTTGATAGCTCCAACTTTTTCCTTTCTGACTTACACATAAAACCTTCCAACGTATCTTAAAATGTTATGTTTAAACTGAGTGGTGTTTATGTTTGGGAGGAGAAAAAAAATTTCAAAAGACAGAGGTAAAAACTGACCTCCTTGGGGTGCAGGTGAGAGGAGCAGCAATTGAATGATGCCTGTTCTCTCCCTTCATCTGCTTTCCAGTGACAAATAGGGGAAACTCTCTTTGTGTGATTAATTTTTATATGTATACCAAAGACAGGAAAATATATTGAGGAAAAATAAAATAAGAAGGAGAAAAAAAATCACTTATTTTAACCATAAATAAATAAATAAATAGGGAGGGAAGAAGGAAATGAATGCCCACCTAGAAAGATCCATGAAGAACTATATCATGAAGAAAATGCAAAGAAACTAGGAACTCGGGTTTGCAGACTGAAGTTTAAAATCAGGTGTTTTGTCTGAAAGTGAATATTGTGGATTATAGAATTTATCAAAGATGTTTCTATTTGCTTCTTTATCTCTGTTTTTTTTTCCTATTGTTGTATTTTAAGAGAACAAGAAAGAAAGGGTGGTGAGAATCTATTGAAATATATCCCACAAAAATGATAATTCTTACCTCCTGAAAAAGATCATAACAACAATATTTATTCTGTGAAACGAAAATTTAACATTATAACTTTTTAAGCATTGAAAAAATAAGAGAACTGTAAAACCACACTTTAAAAAGATGTATTTTTGCTTCAGTATTTATCCTACTTGTTTCCAGGAAATATTTCACTGCCATATGCTGTTGGCAGTACCATATAAAATTGTTTAATATCTATATGGTATAAGTATTCCATTTTTCTAATAAACTAGTAAATAATTCATGTCAGTGAAATTTTAGTTTTTTTAATGAATTGGGGAAATACTCATTTTAGGATTTTTTTTTTTGCCATCTTATTTTAGAGTATGATTTGAATGCTTTTTTTTCATACTTTCTTTGTTTTGAAATGATGAAATGTTGTCTTATTAAGTGTCATGGACTCGTTATTTTTATGCTTTCTATTTATAGACTAAATTTGTGCAGGGTTTAACTAAATTTCTTGAAAACCTGTGCATTGACTGTAATGGTTATTTTTAGTTTCTTTACATTGGAAAATTTATGAACATTTGGAAAATCATTTGAGTACAAAAATCCTTTGAGGGTTTTAGGATTATTTTCCCAGTATTTTTAGTTGTCTTTAAGAAACTCCTTTTAAGTCTTCTTAATGCAATCAATGCTAGCTGTGTGAGAACAGCTTTTTAAAACTTTAGTTTTATATTCACATTTGGGATTTCTGAATTTGTGTAGTATTTAGTTACACGAGAATGTAACTGACATAACAAGCTTTAGAGAAGACACAATGGACAGTTAAGCATTCAGGTTGACTAGTAGGGAGAAGGGTGAGCATTCAGGTTGTGGAATGGTGGAAGTTTCCAGAGGAAATGGATTGTTAGTTAACTCTGGTCAGTCCATCAATTGGAAGTCATTCCAAAAGTACCCCTGTTATGCAATTCAGGGTTTCTTTGAGGCAGTATTGTATATATTAATTGATTATTTATTTCAACCTCATTTATCATTGCTTGTTCACTTTTACATTGGCTTCTGCCTTGAAGAAGCAGAATCTTGGTTTTGTGTTTTGTTTTGTTTTTTAATAGAATCAGTATATCTGTTGTTCAAAGACTCTTAACTTTCCTACCCAGAACAAATTGGTTAATTTTATTTGGAAATACTGTGGGCTGTGGAGCCAGACCACAGTATATTGAATCTCAACACTGACATTATAATAGCTAAGTAATCTTTGGGAAGACACATCTCAATAATTTGTAAATTGGGCATACAAGACTCTCTGCTACCGCTGGCAGTAGGACTATAGCTGGCTTTTCCCCCCTGAGATTTTTTATATTTTCTGAACTTGTTGATATATTAAATAGAAAGAAAACATATTTTGTTTAAAACCTCAGTTGAGTGAAGGGAATGAAAGAGGAGAAAAGTAGCCAACAGTGTATGCTTTAAGGATTAAATGAGATTTTTTTTTTTTTTGTGTGTGTGTGTGTGTATGTGTGTGTGTGTGTGTGACATATTCAACTGGGCTACTTTTTATTTTTAACTAGGAAAAAAAATGTATTTAACATATATAAGCTTTAATTATATTTCCCTATAGGTAGATTTTAATTTCTTTTTTCAGTTTTATTGAAAAATGTTTTTATTCTTAGACTGTTTTTTTTTTTTTTTGCCTGATTTTGTTCACTGAAAAAAATATTGTTCTGATAAGTTCATCCCTGGACTTTTCTACTCATTTTATTTTTACAGCATACTTTACACAATCCACATTTCCTCACATTTACATTCATTACTCTATGTATAATTGTAAACATTGTGGTAGATAATAAATAGCCTTTTTGCTTTCTATTTTGTTCCTAAGATGAGGAGAGGAAATAATTAATATGCTTAGAAAGTAATGAATAACAAATTGTGGCCTTATATATTTTGGGAGATTAATAAAGGGGAGGGGGAACCCTATATCTAGAAATTTGCAATAAAAGAAATGTTTGTATTAAGACATTCAAAAAGAAGTGGAAACAGAGTGAAGGATTTTAACTGAATCTGTGAAGCCGATTAGCTGAGGGTGGGTATCAGTTTGTTTACATGGGTTTTGATTTGTTTTTAAGATATTTATGCAGTTCTTCCTTTTAACCATTCTTCAATTTTACTAGTTAAGGCTGATGTTGTATAAGCTATAGGAATAATAACATGTTGATTTTGTTTATTTTTTTAATTAGAGATATACTTTACCATAATGCTTTTAAAACCTAATCAATATTTACTGTATTATCAAATGGTTCTCTCAAATTAATTTCTCAAAGTCAGAAACTGTCTTGTATTCACAATACAATCAGCATATCTTATGTAGAGCAGTCAGGACAATAAATATTTGTTGAATGAAATGTATTATATTTTAACATCCCTTAAAATTCAAGCATATATTTTGTGACTTGCTGTAATAATCTTTAGCAAATAAAGCAAAAATAAAATGTTTCTACAATTTTACTTATGTTAAGAAATTAATCTTTAAATACTTTAAAACAAAAAGCTGCTTTTGTCCTCCAGTAATTAACATGGAAGGGTAGGACACTGTCTGCCAACATGTGTAAGTTAGGCCCATTAACCTCATTTTATCCCGTAAAGAATAAGGCATAGTAGACAAAATGATAAAGAGCTTGGATTAAAGCTTTTGCTCCTCTGTTCCCAAACTTATCTTTCATAGGAAGGACTTAGAAAGTTTAATTTATTGTCCTACATAAACTTTCCTAATTATAAAAGTTAGAAGTAGTGATGGATGAATAAAATAATGTTATCATTTGATCATGTGTCATTGTGACTCGATAAAAAGGATCATATTACTGTAACAAAGTTGTGTTGATTATCTGTTTCCAAGGAATTGAATTCATCTCCACCTACAGTGGGTCCTTGTAAATATGCCATTTGAGCTGTTACTAAATCATATAATGTTTTAGTCTCTTTTAAAATAATAATCCAAAACAAATGTTCAAAAATCCAGGAATACTATAGTTTAGTTCTATTTTTAGAACATAAAAGTGGAATTGCCACCTTTCCATAGTTCTGCCAGGTACCCGTAGAAGCAAATACAAATTACCAACCTTTGTTGTCTCTCCTCAGTCAAAACACAACCTCCTTTTCTGAGTTCACTCTTGTTGACCTCTGGGCATCCCAGACCTTCTATGTTAGATTCCATCTTCCCCAGGTTGATTTTGTTTGCATCTAGATTCACAGCACAGCAGAATGTTTAGAACTGAAACAGCCTTTTGTCAGAATTTACCAATTTGCATGTGACAAAAAGATACAGGAGAAAAAAGGACTCATGGTTAAATAATGACTAAGTAATGGTTAAATAGGACTATATATATTTTTTTAAAATTTGTCCTCCTCTAGAAGAGTTTTCATATTTTATTTCACTTTCTCCTCACAATGACCTTAGAAAGTAGGTTGTGCAGATGTTACTAATCTCATTTAATTAATCAAAATCAAGAGCTAGACTCTTATCCAAGTCTTATGATTCCAACCCAGGGTTTCTTCCTGAAGCTGATGTAAATGGTCCTTCTAAGAAATTCACTTCAGTATTTATTCCATGGGTTTTAGGCTCTGGAGTATATGTAGCTAAAGTGACTGATTTAGGTTTGGTAATTTATTTAATCATTACCACATGATACTCATTAAGGTTGCATTTTCATGTCAAATGATCTATTGAAGAATTGATCATATGGAGCGTGTTTTACGTAGACTGAAATTGATCATTACATACCTAAATTCTCTCCCATATCCACATACTATTGATGCATTAGTTCGTTAACTATATTTGGAAAAAAAAATGTTTTTACTTTCTTTACAGTGATCCAATTCTTTCTTTATTTGTTATAACAGTTAAATATCATCTTTCTGGTGATCACATTGTGCAAAATGGTGAAGCATTCAAACACTTTGAAACCAGATTCTAGCAGGTTGGAAAACATTAAGTAAGTATTTTGTATTTTAATTTTAGCACTTGACAAGCTAAGTAAAAGATATTCTCCACAGGGAACACAGGTATTTTTGCCTTCTGTCAACTGTAGAAATTATTCAGAATGAAGTTTTACTGATCAAGGTTGAGTCTCACTGTTAAATATGTTACAGACATGGGCCAAAAGTTAGATAATTCTGTCTTGATGTAGAATGAAGAAATTGTTTCAGTAGCTTTGTGGAAATTTCATATCACTATAGCAATTTCATTTGAATTGAAAATGCAATTCAAAATGATGTTCTTGTTTGCATGGCTGATAGGATTTTATTAAGTTTGTTTTGTTAAATGACTTTTTGATTTAAGGATTCTAAGCAGTTTCTCTTCCTAATCCTGTTTTCCTAAGAGAATTTACTCTATTACTATTGTTAATGTGAAGATGATCTGTTGTTTTTATGCTAATTAAACAAATGTTTACTTTATCTCACTAGTGTTATTGCAATATTCTATCAATGGAAAAATGCTATCTAATTAACGAAAAATTGATAGCTGTTGATTCATTAAATCATCTTATGGAGGTATTTTCAGAGTTATTTTAAAAAATATGAGTGTTAATTTAGAACTTGAGGTATTCAAGTTTTAATGGGGTTGTGAAAATACTTTTAGAGTAAAAAAATGGCAGATCTATTGTAAGGGTAAATTTTTTAAAAAAAGATGTTTTAGATAGGTTAGTGCCAGCTTCATTGCATGTTGCATGGTAAGAGAGAGAGCTAATCTTTAGCATCTCTCTCTTTTCTTCCTTTTCCTCTTTCTGTCTTCTCATCTACACCAGTAATTACCGTGTTTGTGATGGCTACTATAATACGGACTTACCTGGGTAAGGTAGAACCCTACATTAACAAATTTATGGCATGATTTATATTTTTTACAAATCCGTCAATATCATGAATTGCCCTTAATTTTTATAATTATTTTGGAATATCTAATTTGCTATAGTATTTTTAAACTATAATATGCCTTTATTTTTTAATTGCTTGCCTCTGCATTTTGACTTTCTTAATTTTGACTAATTTATATAATATATAAATGCTTTCTTATTACTTTCTATTTTAATTCTGTCTAATAATTTTGTTTCTCTTTTCTGCTTATAATGCTTTCTAGCTATGAAGATAATAAGCCATTTATCAAGTAAGATCATTAGTTAGACATGGAATGCACTGACTTTAATTCCTTCTCATTCCGTCCTATTTTCTACAGTTCTTTTCTCCTTAAGCTATTCATGATGAAATCTCTCCAAAATTATTATTATTTTTTTATTATTATTTTGAAGTTGTCCTCATGTTTTTACCTCATTTCAGCTAGGCTTCTTCATGCTTTAGTTATAAAACCTTAGGTTCACCTAAGACTAGCTCATAGACTTTGAAGTTTAGGTACTAAGTGATTATCTGCCATTTAACCTTTCTGTATGTGTCACATTATTCAGTGTCATAATGAGTAGACCACAGGAATAAAAATATGTTAGTAAACTAATTAAGAACTCCTTAATTTCTTTAACCAAAATGCACATAAACAGCAATAAAGTCCTGGGGGTTATTTTACAATCTGTATTTTAAAGTAGTTCGATACCTGTGTATTCTGGAGTAAGAAAAGGTCATGCCTGCTGTTGCGGTTTTCACCGGAGGCTGCAGTACTAAATGCTGTTGTTCTTTTTTAATCAATGAAAGGATAAAGACAAATGCTGTTGAGTTTGAATGTGAACATAGAGAAAGTCAACTGCTACTACTAAAATGTTAATAAATAAGTGTAACATTTATTTCCCTCATTGAACCTGTTAAAAAATTCAATTTGTTTTTTCAGGTCTTGGGTGCTTGGTGCTTTTGCTCTGCTGTGTCTTCTTGGCCTCACCTGGTCATTTGGGTTGCTTTTTATTAATGAGGAGACTGTTGTGATGGCGTATCTCTTCACCATCTTTAATGCTTTCCAGGGAGTGTTCATTTTCATCTTTCACTGTGCTCTCCAGAAGAAAGTAAGTGAATGAAAACACCTCAGTTTGCTCATTCTGTGACTTGATAATAATAGGTGTAATAGAGAAGTTACAGTGGGCATATTGCTAAATAGCATCATATTTTTTTATTATAAGTTAATTTTAATACCTATCTGGAAAGTTAGGCTTCACATTATAAAGTTGAACAATACCAGTCATCTTTTGGGAAGGTTGTAAACCAGATTATTTATGTTAAGATTTCTTCTTTGCTAGTAGGGTCTGTAGAATATTTTACTCACAGAGTATACAAGATTAAAAAAAAAAAAAGTTAAATTTATTTCATGCTCACTAACAGGAATGCACTAGTCCTAAATGAAATTGAGTGTAAGAATATATCATGTCAATTTTAAACACACCAGGCATATAAAAAATTAATGCTAATGTTCCTTTTGAGTAATTTTGAAAGATTTAAAAACCAATAATTTAGACCTCATGTCCTACCTAGTATTTTGTTCTGACTTCATGTTAAGTGAATTCAGCAAAAAGGATTCAAAAATTAAAGTTAAAAGGAAAAACTTCAATCTGTAGCAAGACATAAGCCTAAGAGAATCTCTTAGCTGCCATTGGAGTTTAAAATTTCTATGCCTTTCACAAGGTATCATCCTTTCTGTCTGCATATCTAATGTAGTCTTTTTATTCTGTTATTACTAGTTGGTCACTAAATTGAACAGAGAAATAGAATTGTGAAAGTGAAAACTATTATGTTTTCAGTCCTGACAAGATGATAGTGTTGTTACTTCCATCAGTTTTGAATAAGCTATAATTTTGAGATAATGACAGTGGAATGTGCAATACTGACAGATAATGTACATTCACAGCAATATAGGCATTAGGCAAAACCAACACTGGAGGGTATTATTTGGATAAAATACCATTTTGATTGCCATTGTCTTGGTTATACAGCATTTTGGAACAGTTAATAGCCATTAAATGTGTGGAAAATTTTTGTGAGGTATCATGTGTTATTTAATAACAGTGAACTCTAACTTTCTAAACATTGTACAAGGATAACCTTAGTAACTACTTTAGTTTTTATTTATTTCTTATGTAAATGAGCAGTCTGTGCACAAGCCTATGATGACATATTCATCATTTCTGGATTATTGTGCCAAACAGTTTTGATATAATGCATTGACTTAACAGAGAAAGGGTGAAACAGTCATTATTTCTTCATATAGTTATGTGTGCTAATTGAACAAGGAGATTTTAACATGCTTTTTTCCTTAACAACTGCATTTTAAAAGCATCCAGATGCACTTGTTTTGACATGTTCTCCTTATTCTAGGATACATCCTATTGGGTACTACCAGGGTAGATTGTTAAGAATATGACATAAAATGGTTACATTAAAATCATGGTTCTTACTGCTCGAATTGAGCATATTTGGGCCAAGAAAATGCCTTCAGAGCTCAACCACATTGTTATTTGCTTTAATAGGTATAATTAAATAAACGAAGAAAAAAAATGCAAGTACACTTAGATTTAAAAGATCATCTGGTGACTTCAATTTTCTAATTTTGAAAGGAATAAGTGTTAAAATCATGGTTTTTACAAGTGGATTACTGAGTTGTGAAAGGGGAAAGGCTTCTTGAGTATTTGGGGAATTTTTTGTTTGTTTTTTGATTTTTGTTATTGTGGTGGTAATCTACTAGAAAAAAAATTTTTTTCTCCTGTAATTTTTCCCTGTCTGTGTTGTGATTTCAAAGGCTGGCTCTAATCTACAATAAAACATTTCTATGCTGATGTAACTGTACACAATCCAGCACCCTCTGCCCTTCTTCCAATTCTGTACTGTTCTAGAAGGGTAGTAGTTCTTTGGACTCCATTTTTTTTTCTTAATATTGTTTTTAGTTGTTGATGGAACTTTATTTATGCGTACACTGTGCTGAGAATCAAACCCAGTGCTTCTCAAATACTAGGCAAACGCTCTAACACTGAGCTACAACTGCAGCCCTGGACTCCACTTTTTAAAGGTTGATTTAAACTTCCTTTTAGACCTAGCAGTTTTCCTCTCCATTCATATATGCAGGATCCAGTGAGAAAGGGAAATTACATGGGTAACTCATTAATGTGAATGGAAATAGCTTTTTTTAAATAGTTTTGGTGAGTGCGAATGAAGTGAGTAGACATCTTTAGATGCTCCATACTAAATGTTAAAGCTAGGCATATCAGAAAATGAAGAAAACGTTCTGTTTTGATCATTGGCAAATGTATCAAAGTACTTTTTTTTCTTTGTTCTTATGCCAAAGAAGTCTTGTCATTACAAAGGGGTTACTGGCAAAACTCTGCAATCTAGTCAAAGAGGTTTATGTATTGACCTAATAAGAGGACATGAAGCATGTAAAACTTAAATGACTGAATTACAGATTGAGTAAATATAATCAAGCAAGGAATATACAAACTGTTTGTCTGATTTTCTTAGCCCCAAATAAAATGAAGCCACTAGTTGTATAGGCAGAATAAGACTTTAAATACATTGCTATTGAATTAATAGCTAACATTCAGATAAATTAACAACAGGTACAAAGTATGTCCACATGTTATACAAAGTTTTAAAGATCCTACTAGCTAATCAAATGGTCAGATATTTCTGTGATAGAATTTTAGCAGTTTCAGCTGAACTTGATTTTGAAATTTCAATTTATTTTCTCTGCAGATATGTCATGGTGCTACTTTAATTTTTCTTGGTTGTCTTCACTCTTCATTTAATTAAAGAGAGAAGCAAGTATATGTTTATCTCAATCCCATGGTCTCATGATTATTCATTGCAGGTACGAAAAGAATATGGCAAGTGCTTCAGACACTCATATTGCTGTGGTGGACTCCCAACTGAGAGCCCCCACAGTTCTGTGAAGGCATCAACCACCAGAACCAGTGCTCGGTATTCCTCTGGCACACAGGTAACAAAGGGTTTGACAGCATCTTTAATTAACCTTATTTATAGAAAGCCTTTTGGGACATGTTCTGTTTAGATGCACTAATTGTTTCCTCATTATAATGATGCAGGTAGTAAATGCTTGCTTTTTTTAGTATTCTGGTTTTAATTTCTTCTTAAATATGTACTCAAGGTGTTTATTTAGGTGTAAACATCCTTTTGGAGGAAGCGTGTCCTTTAAGAAGTGAATCCTAAACAGTCCATATTCTAAGGACGTATAGCACAGCATTCATAGCAGTCACTCAGTCAGCATTTGTTGAATAAACAGTCATCTCAACTTTTTATAAAAAGTCAATTAAATAACACACTTTCAAGAGCAGAAGATTAAATCCCCTTTAGTAAAAGGCAAGCAATAGGGCAGCATAGATATCCTTAGTTTTGGACCCAAAACAGCACACATTCTGTAAAAGGCCAACTGATAATCATACACAGATTGTCTAGGATGAAGCTTTGTGTGTTTTTAATAAGGTGAGCTTGGGAAAACTAACATATGTCTTGCTATTTTATATTAATAGAGTCGTATAAGAAGGATGTGGAATGACACTGTGAGAAAACAATCTGAATCTTCTTTTATCTCAGGTGACATCAATAGCACTTCAACACTTAATCAAGGTCAGTTATTAGGAAAATTTTAGTTTACAATATACAATACAAATTTTGGACTTTTTGCCAACTTAGAATAATTCTAGACATAGTATAATTCTAAAGTGCTGAACTTTTCTCTCATGGGTATATATATCACACGTTCTTAAACCTGTTTACTTTTATCATCACTTATTAAAGTACATATAAATTCATTTTCTTCAATAATGTAATGCAAAAAATATAACTTTAAACTCCACACTATCAGAAGGCTGGAAAAAAGTAATTATTAAAAGCATACTTTGCCACAGATTAAAATGTTTTTCTCCTTTCTAAACAAGACATTTATGAAAGGGTTCTTCTTAAAATATTAAAATAAATTAGAGTAATCACTATTCATGTAAAACAGTGCTGATTTTACAGTGAAAATGGCAAAATTTTTGTAAAATTATTTTATGATTTTTTCAAAAACTGAAAAGTAAACTTTAAAAGATTTATAGTAAGTCTTTATAAACAAAGTTAAAATTCATGAAAGTTTGTATAGTAACTTTTTTCATATTGTTCAATGTGTCTATAGAGGCAACTTTAAATTTGTCATATAAATCAATATAATTCTGGAAAAGGAACTAATTTAGCAACATAAGGTCACAAGCACATTCACACACAGGTATTCCTGAATAATAACTTAATACATATCAATCTAGTATGAAAAAAACGTATGATTGTGTTGATCCTGGAAAGGTAATTTATTCAGGTATTTTCAGTTTTGAAGTATTGATTTGTAATGTAATATAGAGTTTTACCACAATGAAAATATTAAAACACATTTTAAATTGTTGACATTGTTCTGGGAAGATTCTAGTTTAAAATGAAGAGTGGAGTATGTGTAACATCAAAACCAACTTGAATTTGAAGTATTTTTAATTGAATAGGTAGAATTTATAATTTATCCATTAGAATGAGGGAAATGTGCATCTATTCCATTGCAGTAGTGTTTTACCCAATTCTGTTAAGATGACGATCAAAAAGTAAATGAAGTACTCCAAGATTCATTTTTGAAACCTGGCAAATGAGATTATAAAACACAAATTCTTGTTATATACAATTTGTGAATCATCCAATGATTCATTTTAGAGTTGTTTTCCCCCTCGGCATGTACGCTTTTGCATTTACTAAAGGAAGCTTTTTGCAGTGTGTCATAATTTTTACCTGTTTGTGAAAGTTGTTTTTCTTCCTGCTTGTATCAAAGTTGGTATTAACACAGATGTTTTCATGAGGGATAATCCCACACCTGTAAATCTGCAAGTTTGAGATTCCCTCCTCTGGGCCTCTGTGGTGAAGTTTTTAATATTAAGCAGTAACATCTTGAAACATAATGTTGATCTCTATGCATTTAATTGCCATTTTTGTTTAACAGTGATTTTGTATAAATTAGTAAATGTCATCCTTAGCAGGTGTTTACTTGGGGGATTTAGAAAGCACCTGTGAGTTACTGAAATTTAACTTTCCTCTCCCCTTTCTCCTTCAAATTAGTAGTTCAAATACAGTCAGAAAATTTCAACAGATTTTCCATTGCCAACTTGTCCACTACCCTGATGAATTAGGGGAAAAAAAATATATATATATATATTGCAACTGTAACACTAAAATAAGAAAACTGATGTATTTTTTTTCTGTTTTTGTTTTTTGTTTTTTGTTTTTTTGCTTTAGGAATGACTGGCAATTACCTACTAACAAACCCTCTTCTTCGACCCCACGGCACTAACAACCCCTATAACACATTGCTCGCTGAAACAGTTGTATGTAATGCCCCTTCAGCTCCTGTATTTAACTCACCAGGTGTGCTTACACTTAACAAATAAAACTACCTTTCTTTGCTGCTAAACACAGCTCTGATCTTTGCCCTATTTCTAAAATACTCAAGTTGCCATAATATTTATTATTATTATTATTATTACATCCTTAATTTCTCAATTTAAAAAAATTATGGTATTGCCCATGCCAGGCTTCTAAAACTGCACTATATTATAGTAAAAGTTCAATCATGATAGTATTTACAATAATGATCCATGTTTTTAACACAGGTGGCATAAATCTTAATATATTATTACAGGACTGACATCACATGGTCCGAGAGCCCATCTTCAAGATTTATATCATTTAGAGGTATAATATCTATATAATATGTTGTTCAGTTGACTCTAAAGCTTGCTGACAAAATTGCTTCTGGAATGAACTAGTTATAATTATTTGGATGTCTGGGTATAGAAAACTACATCCAGAATTGTCAATATAACCGAACTATAGTATAGTGCAGCTTTATGGTAATTTTTCTTTTTCTTAAGGAAACTTATGAGAATAGAGTTAATATTAGTCAAGTTTATACTAATAGTTTTTAATTGGGGGAGGGGGAGAGATTATCACTAACCTATCCTGTTTATTATACCAATAGCTTATTTTTTAAAAAATCATATATACTTAATATTAAAATTTTTGAGATTTTGGGGGAAAGTTATATAATTACTGCTATCATATAATCTCTATTTGTGAATAATATTTGCCACTAAATTGAACCCAAAACTTGGTTTCTTTTTTTTTTTTTCTTAAAATTCTTTTTAACGTAACTGCAGCTTCTCTTTTCATTCTCTTGTTTTCTTACCTCCTTATGCTTTCCTCTAGCAACCTACAGAGAGACAAGTATGGGAGTAAAACTTAACTTTGCCTATCAAATGTAAATTTTTTCAGCATGATTTTTAACGGGCACAATTAAAACATTACTAGCAGTCATGAAGTAGACTCAGCGGGCAAGTGGTTCACAATTTGCAACTAAAATGTTGCCAGATTTTTAAACAGTACATCTATCTGTACTTCCTTTTGTCAGTAATAGAGGTCTGTAGCAAATGCTGTCCATACTTAAGTACATGCAATGCTGAAATAATTTGCTCTATAAAGCCTGAAGTACTGTCAGCCAAAATGCTTAATAATTGACTTTATCATTTCTGCATTCCCACAGTCATCTTGCTACAGGCTGTGGAAAGTCTTCAAGTGAATTACCTGAACTTGGGCAGAAAAAGATGCCTCTTCAAAACCAGAGAAGCCTTAAATCTGCAGTATATCATAGAAAACACCTTTTGGATTTTATTCAGTATATTTCTTACATTTCTTAAAGCAGTGATAAAAAGAAAAGAAAATGTTTGAAAACATTGAACCTCTGCAAAGGAAACAAATGCTAGCATGTTATCCGTATGTCACCTGCGACTTACAGTGCCAAATGTGTTCTAATGGTAGAGCTTACAAATAAAATTGTGGCACATAGGAATTTATAAACTAGATAATTGTGTCAAGCCAGAGGAAGCCTTACAAATAACTATCATAATTTCATTTTGTTAACACCTGAAGCACGATGAAAATTGAATTGTTAATCTTTCAAATGTAGAAGTTGGGTCAGAATTTTGATTTTTTGTGTTTTCTTTCTTTTTTTTAAATAACATAAGTAACAAATATAATATTCTCCCCCATATTATTATTTCTGCTAATGATAATTTAGCCAACAATTGTCAGACACTTATTGGTCATGAAATTTGTGTCATACGGAGAATTTGTATGTGTTCTCTATAAGAAATTGAGTTTTCTAGGATATCTGCAGCTTTAAGAGTGAGGGAAATTTCTTATTCTTTTCCAAGAATTAAAATTTTTTCCTAAACTCCTCCAAGCCTTGCATACAATGCAGCAGCCTCACAGTGGTCAGTTTCATTTCAATAACATCATTTCATTCTTTTTTTTTTTTTTTTTAAACAGATCTATCTGTAGACAAGTGATTTTTTTTTTTTATTTCCTTCCAGGATTTTGAGAATGAATAGCTCAACCTTCCATTGTGTAGATCATTTAATTTTCTCTTTTATTTTCCCATTTGCTTGAGAAGCACTGTGATGTCCTAGTTTACATGTTTATGTGTCTGTAGAAAATACAACTGATTCATCAGAATAGAGCATGTTACCATGTTTTTTTTCCTCCTAAACTTCCTTCCATATCTCAAGCAGATTATCCAATCTTTCATTCCGTTAGAAATAAATATATATTAGCCAAGGCTGACACCCTTCTCCCATTCCATAGTTAATATCTATTCTCCTCGGTTTAATTTCTGTGACCCATACTTAAGAAATCTCTAACATTTCTGCGTTTGACCTCCATGCCCATGGTGCTTATGGGCTGATCTTGTACAGTAGACTCTGCTGGTTCATTCGGTACTGTCACTGTGACTGATGCAGACTGCAGGGCTGCAGGCAAACTTTGACCATTAGAAGCCTGGGGCCATTACTATTAGAGAGATTATTAGTACCAAAATAAATTAAAATAAATACTAAGTGTAAAGACTGCTATTGCTGGTAATCTAATTTGTTGAACCCTTGCTCTGACTAAGTTGCTGAGAAGCTTAGAAATTCTTCATCATGTTACAATAAATCATTTTACTTTCTTTTATATATCAGCTACTCTTAGGCCAGATAGCCTGAGCAGACAGACATGATGTGAGTTGTCCAAAGTGAGTCATTCCACCTGCCGTCTATCGTGTTGTTGGATGGTGCTTGTGGGCCCTCGGTCCAGTCAGTATGAGAGATGGCTGTCTCTGTTTAACATGATTTCTTTGTATCTGTCCATTTTTTTTCATTCTTTTTTTTTTTTTAATTTCATCTTCAGACAAAGGAAATTTTAGAATGTTGTTTTAAAAAGTTGCTTGCCAATTATGTGGGTTTATGTTGTACATTTGCCTTTCGGTTTTGTATGTGACTTATTCCTTTTTAATTTAGTGTTGTTTAGGACAAATTCTGTTAATTTTATTTTTATAAACCATAGTCTTGTACTGAAAATGTAAATGTCACTAATAAATTGCTTTGCATTAACTATGCAAGGGCATGGAGTGAAGTCTTTTTCATAAGAGTGTCAGAGATTTGACCAAAAAAATCATTGAATAACTACCATCTCTCCAAAATTGATAAAGTAATATTCTGTATGCCATTTCCCTCCCTGGAAAACAGTATCAATTTTTTTTTTTAACACTTTTTCCTGTTATCTAAGGGGTTGCAACTGTTTATAGTTGGGAATGCAGGAAAGCCTGACACTTTTTAAGTGCTGGCTTTCAAATACAACTTTGTCCTGAACGACATTAAAAAGTTTTGTACAAAAGAAATAAAGTATCTTCAGAAAGAAACAGAGGAAGTAATGGTAAACTCCCCCTTTTCTGTTCCAGGACATTCACTGAACAATGCCAGGGATACAAGTGCCATGGATACTCTACCGCTAAATGGTAATTTCAACAACAGCTACTCACTGCGCAAGGGGGACTACAACGACAGTGTGCAAGTTGTGGACTGTGGACTAAGTCTGAATGATACCGCTTTTGAAAAAATGATCATTTCAGAATTAGTGCACAACAATCTTCGGGGCAGCAGCAAGACTCACAACCTCGAGCTCACACTCCCGGTCAAGCCAGTGATCGGAGGCAGCAGCAGCGAAGATGATGCTATCGTGGCAGATGCTTCATCTTTAATGCACGGCGACAACCCAGGGCTAGAGCTCCATCACAAAGAACTCGAGGCCCCGCTTATTCCTCAGCGGACTCACTCCCTTCTCTACCAACCCCAGAAGAAAGCGAAACCCGAGGGAACTGACAGCTATGTCTCGCAGCTGACCGCGGAGGCGGAGGATCACCTGCAGTCCCCCAACAGAGACTCTCTGTACACAAGCATGCCCAACCTTAGAGACTCACCCTATCAGGAGAGCAGCCCCGACATGGAAGAAGACCTCTCTCCCTCCAGGAGGAGTGAGAATGAGGACCTTTACTATAAAAGCATGCCAAATCTCGGAGCTGGACGGCAGCTTCAGATGTGCTACCAGATCAGCAGGGGCAATAGCGATGGTTATATAATCCCCATTAACAAAGAAGGGTGTATCCCGGAAGGGGATGTTAGAGAAGGACAGATGCAACTGGTAACAAGTCTTTAATAGTACAGCTAAGGAATTCCAAGGGCCACATGCAAGTATTAATAAGTAAAATAAAAGACTCCTTTGGCCCCGTGCAGCTCTCCCTCCAAGTCTGCTTGAAGAGATGACTCTGTTGACCTGTGGTTCTCCGGTGTAAAAAAAAAAAAAAAAAAAAAAAAAAAAAGATGACTGAACCTTGCAGTTCTGTGAATTTTTATAAAACATACAAAAACTTTGTATATACACAGAGTATACTAAAATGAATTATTTGTTACAAAGAAAAGAGATGCCAACCAGGTATTTTAAGATTCTGCTGCTGTTTAGAGAAATTGTGAAACAAGCAAAATAAAACTTTCCAGCCATTTTACTGCAGCAGTTTGTGAACTTAATTTGTAAATATGGCTGCACCATTTTTGTAGGCCTGCATTGTATTATATACAAGACGTAGGCTTTAAAATCCTGTGGGACAAATTTACTGTACCTTACTGTTCCTGACAAGACTTGGAAAAGCAGGAGAGATATTCTGCGTCAGTTTGCAGTTCACTGCAAATCTTTTACATTAAGGCAAAGATTGAAAACATGTTTAACCACTAGCAATCAAGCCACAGGCCTTATTTCATATGTTTCCTCAACTGTACAATGAACTATTCTCATGAAAAAAAAATGGCTAAAGAAATTATATTTTGTTCTATTGCTAGGGTAAAAATAAATACATTTGTGTCCAACTGAAATATAATTGTCATTAAAATAATTTTAAAAGAGTTTGAAGAAAATATTGTGAAAAGCTCTTGGTTGCACATATGTTATGAAATGTTTTTTCTTACACTTTGTCATGGTAAGTTCTACCCGTTTTCACTTATTTTCCACTGTATACAGTGTTCTGCTTTGACCAGTTAGTCTTTATTCTTACATTTAAATTTCTTATTGCCAAAAGAACAAAGTGTTTTATGGGGAGAAAACGCTTCAAAGCCAGTTCTGCCATGCCTTGCACAAATGTGGTGAAATCTAGAAAAGATTGTGTGTCATCCTTCTGTTTATTCTTGGAACAGAGGGCAAAGAGGGCACTGGGCACTTCTCACAAACTTTCTAGTGAACAAAAGGTGCCTATTCTTTTTTTAAAAAAAGAAAATAAAACAAATATTACTCTTCCATATCCCTTCTGCCTATATTTAGTAATTAATTTATTTTATGATAAAGTTCTAATGAAATGTAAATTGTTTCAGCAAAATTCTGCTTTTCTTTTCATCCCTTTGTGTAAACCTGTTAATAATGAGCCCATCACTAATATCCAGTGTAAAGTTTAACACGGTTTGACAGTAAATAAATGTGAATTTTTTCAAGTAGTTAATGTGCACTTTTATATATGATACATAATTGGCTTTAACACATTGATCCTTTCCCACTCCTTCCTCCCCTTGGTTGAGGTGACTTCATAGTTTAGGTAATCCATGGATATGTAAAAGAATGCCATTAAGTTGCCTGTTCATTCTTCATGTAAAAGGATTACATATGCACAAAATCTGGCAGATAACTTTTCAATAGGGAAATATACTAGAAGTATTTTTTTGTTGTTGTTGCATTGCACCCAAACTAAAAATAAATAAATAAATAAAAGAAGGTTTGGGATTTCTACCATCACATTTGGGCATCATAATTTTTTTTTTCTTAAATTGATTTTTCAGCAGTATATTGAGAAATTCCTAAAACATACTTTTACAGTTTGAGGATTATTAGTATCTCTATAGACAGCTGTGAATGACAGTATTTCTTATCATTGAAAGGTTTTGCTCCAAGTTCAAAAATCATATAATTGAATCTCAACAAATAGATTTTTCCTATTTATATCATGAGCATTTACTCCAAATTCTTCTAAAGCTTAGTGGTTCTCTCAAATGCTTCTACAAAGTTAGAAATCACTTTTTTTTTTTTTAAATGTGGGCATACTTGGACATGCCTATTGAATTTTAAAAGAGTAAGGACGAATTTTAAGTATATACTCATGTACTTAAAAGTGGATACAGTGAAGTAGACACTAAATACTGAAAATAAATTTATCAATCCTCTGAGAAAACAAAATTCCACATAATTGTATTTGCTAACATTTTTCAGGAATTTACAAAATTTTATTTGCTGGAAAGGAATGTTATAAATACAATTTTCAGTCTTGTTTTGCTTTTTCTTTTCAGTGCCTGAAACTACAGTATTGTGTAATATATTTTTCTTAGTGAACAACCTAACTAGGGTCAGGCCATTTTGCTAATTAATTTAAAAAAAAAAAAAGATGAAGAAGAATAAATGAAGAAAGGCAACAATGACCACTCTGCTTACTAGTCCCATCTCTGTGTCTCTTGAAGCAGTTCTCAAAGCTATACTACAATGTTAACAAGTAAATAGTACCCAAAGGGTTTGTATTCTCTGTAGTAAGAGTAATTTTATTATGGATTATTATCTTATAGACTAGAATTTGGAAGTTTTCATTCATCTTTGCCATCAAAAGAATCATTTTTGATACTGATTTTCAATACTGATTTCTGTTAATATTGCCTTAAATTCCATCTAGGGTCATCCCTAGTACAAGGTAGTTTTTTTAGGTTTGTTTAACATTACCAATTTACTGTCTTTAAATGCCAATGCACTCATTATTAGCCCGTTTTCTTTGGATCTGTCTGGCCTGCATCTGTACATACAATTCACACATCCCCGATTACTTCTTTTGTGGTAGTTACAACTGTGAACTTAGAAAGTTGCATTTGTATACCTCTCCCCAAGGGATAGTTACTCTACTAGGCCATTAATAATAAGGATGCTTTTGTTCATTTATTTAGCTGTGACTTGATAAAGGTTAGTCTACATTGATGTTTTTATTTTTTCAAAAAGTGTATGTTCTATTTGCAAAAGAAATATGCTACATATATATTAATCTTACTGGATTTTATACTCATTTATGTAGAAGAGTATATATGTAAATCACTTAAATATGTTGTCAATTACAACTCATCCACATTTCTTTGAGGGTAATTACATGTAGTATTTTAACCAGTGGAACAGCAATTATTTGGTAGAATATCCTCACTGTCCTCTCCCCTCCCAAAAAAAAGTATGCACAAATTCATTGCCAAATTTCAAAAGAAAAGCTCACATGCACTTACTGTATGGGTGTATTCAGGATGCTTTAATTATTAAATAAGAAAGGAGAAAATGTATTTTTCCATCAATTCAACTTTGAACCTCAGGCTTAAAACTAACTTTTATTATGTTCTTGTGAGATTGGGGTGTTTGTAAAAATTTAACTCAGTAAAATTTTTATTGCAATTAAAACCTTCTAAGTCAAAAACCTTGAAAGAATGCATACTAGTTTGAATTCCTAAAATAAAAACAGTTCTTCATATTTTCTTGATACTGAAGTTTTCTTAAAAGCTAGTACTCCTACAGTATTTTATAAATAAAACTTAGTAACAAGAGTTCACATATTCCTGTGTTCCAGAGATTTCTCTTTCCATGAAATTACTGCATTAAATCTGAAACATCAATATAAAGAGTTCCTGGCATTTTGAAAATAGATGAGAGTTGCCTCACAGTGTAATACAGTTAGTGTGGTTTTGGTGAAAAACTGTATCACATGCTTCCTGCTAGTGAGTCGAAAGTTAAATTGGAGTGGTTATTAAACAGCATGTATTGGCAGATTGGAAGCATTAGTTCTAAAGGATAAGTGAATGGTACTGGGTTTGAAGATAAATCATGACAATCTTAACTATCATGAGTGGTGAGGGATGAGAATTTTCTTTTATGTCAGTGTGATTCTACTAATGATCACAGGAATGCATTATGTTAGCTAAATGCACCAAGCAGAAAAATTAGAGTGTTAAAGAAAGACATCAAGTTTTTAACCAACATGTACTTTGTACATATTGTACCTAGTAGCAAAATGTACAGCATTAATGGGAACTCCTGGAAGTTATCCAAGTTCATCTTAAGGTTCTATGGCCACCCAGCTTTCAAGGCCAGGGTAACATATCTCTGTCAAGGGCATTAACAAGCTGTAAGTGCACCATGTAATTACGCTAATTAAATGTTCTGAAAGTGTTTTTCAAATATTGGCAATAGACCACTCCTCGTCTCCTAATAAGGCTTCTCTGGAGTCTTTGTCCTTCTCCTGATGGCCTTCCTGTTTGTTTCTCAAAAGTCTCCAGATGCCAATTTGATTTTAAAAACCTATTGTTTTCAATGGCAAAATTTTTCTGAGTTAATGTGTTGTGTGAAATGCCATTAGATATAGGACATTTAACATAGATCTCTCTATGAAATAAGAAACAATATAACAGGTAACCCAATAAAATTTAGCTTTTTTTTTTTTTGGAGAGAGAGAGAATTATTTTTTGGTGGACACACATCTTTCTTTGTATGTGGTGCTGAGGATAGAACCTGGGCCGCACGCATGCCAGGCGAGCACGCTACCGCTTGAGCCACATCTCCAGCCCCAGCTTCCTGGCATCTTAACTGCTGTGGAGAAAAGAAAAACTACTGCCCCAGGAATCTTTCACACATTTTTCTATTATTTGCTTATTGGAGCTCCAAGACCACAATCTCTTCAAAATGTTTAAAAGGCACAGTTAATCTTAAACTAATATTGTGTATGCATAAGAGACTACTGATAAATGTTCAATTTAGGAAGAGTTTCACAAGCATTTTTAAATCACGTCAGAACTAAGCTTTTTAAAAAGCATGTTGGCCCTCACAGTAACAAGGCTTTCTTGTTTGATTGTATTAGGCCAAATGACTGATATTTTGATATACTCTAGAAAAGGCTGACAGCCACTATATAGAAACACCCAGGAACAATAATGATAGGTATCAAAGTTTTTGATTAGTTGAAAGGTTCATTTGTGGATTTGTTTTTTTTTTTTTTTGCTGAAATATCAATCTTAATAAATAGATGACTCTTAAACCAAAGCACAGTGCTAGCATACAATACATTCTTTTTAACATTGTAATAAAAGAACTACCAAACAAGAATTTCTAATTTTTTTAAAGACACTAATGATTTTGTCTAATTTGCTATTTGCATATTACAATGGGAATAAAATTCTTAGTACCTATCTTATTTTAAGAGATGCTTGAATATATCTCAGGCTCTATATGGAATGTGTGTTTTATTGCACTTAATCCTCTCAACAGACCTCTGAGGAGGGTACTCATCCACTTTTGCAAAAGAAGAAAATTTTCTGGAGGTCTCACAGGTGGTGAATGGCAGAGCCTGCACCAGAATGTTCTCTCTTTGATTCCAGAATAGAAACTCTTAACCAACATGGATCACCTCTGGTTTACCTTGAGTTCCAAGAATATTCCTAATACATCACAGATTCTCTGCTGGCAGTGATAGAGGGGATTTTGTTTTGAGTCTCTAGATCTGAAGCCAGCAAGTCAGTTTAAATAAGTTAAAGTGTTTGAGAGAAAAAAAAAAAAATCCCTGGCAAAAGATAATCTACTTACCTCTAAAAGATAAAATATTACCCGTCAACTGGGTAGTAGTTATATGTGAAATTTATTATTGTTTACTGATTGTACCCTTGAATGACTTTTAAAAGTCCACGAGAAAGTAATTGTAATGGGGAAAAGAACTTGTCCTCACCTGACAAAAAAAAAAAAAAAAAAAACCTACAAAACCCCCTAAGAATTTATATAAGTATTTGTTTTTATTTCCCCACCTAAATTGGCTATAACAACCACAAAAGCCATATGAAAAGCCAACATGTTATTGAGTTTCCTTACACTCTTAAAATACTATTGTTTAAAATTAATTAAAGTATGTATATTTCAGTATTCAGGGCTTTTAAATTTCATAATCTATCTGTGTTTTCAGCATTTGGCCAGAAACCTAACCTTTTGCTCTAAAAAGTGAAGAATTGCAATAAATAGTATCATTTCATTCCAGAATGTGTTCTGCGGGGTCCTGGAGTTACATGGGACAGCTTAGAAAGGCAAGTTGATTAGGAGGTCCTTGTATGTTCAGTTATTGACAGTGTAGTCCACTAAGGCAGCATTATACTGATCCATATGATTTTTTTTCATTTAAAAAATATACGTATTTTTTCAGTTGTCTGTGGATCTTTTTATTCTATTTATTTATATGTGATCTGAGGATTGATTGAACCCTCAGCCTCACACATGTCAGGTAAATGTTCTACCACTGAGCCACAACCCCAGCACCTTTTTAAAATTTTTTTTTATGGTGCTTGGAATTGTACCTAGCACCTGACACATGATAGAAAAATCACTTGGCCACTGAGCTACACCTTCAGTTCTAATCTTTACGATTGATTGCAATAATTCTCATAATTGTCCAAGATGAGTATTATTACAAATAAGGAAACTGAGTACCTAAGTACTTCAAGTTAGCCAATGAAAAAGTGGTAGGTTGGTTAGTGGTAGGTTGTTTCATGCTTGCTTAAGCCCAATCCCTTGATACTGCTCAACTGGGCACAGATTGACCCCCCTTCCTGTCCTGCCAGGAGCTCTGTAGCAGTTAGTTTGCACCAAAAAACAAAAACAAAACAAAACAAAAAAAGTGTGCACTGCCTTAGGGACTGCTCATCACATAGCTAGTCCTGGAATTACAGAAACAAAAGGATCTGACTGTACTCTGGGTCCTTTGCCCAAGAAAGACACTGTCTCTTGTGGCCATTCTACCTGACTGTCCAAATAACCTTGTTGACACCAGTAACTTCTTCCTCTGGATCCTGCCTACAGTTTTTCATTCCCTACTTTCCTCCTCCATTTTTTTCCTGTTCAAGCCTTTTCTCTTAATCATCCTCTGTTGTGTTTTATTGTCTATTTTTATCACTATTTTAGTTCTTAATCACTTCTACCTTTATATATAACCTTTTCACTTTATGTATTTAGCCTCTCTTGTGTGTGTGTGTGTGATTCTGAGTTTCCGCTTTTATTTCGTCTCAATGCTTAATATCTTTTTTAAAACATTGTATATTTTATGTTATTTTTTGGTATTATCTTTAATCTTTATTGGACAATAAACTTAAGTATATTTAAATTATATTTAAATTTCTCCTTTTCTACTTTTTAATTTCCTCTTAATTTTATATTTATTTTTTACATTAAAAAATAAAAGTCTCCTTCCTCCCCCCACCCTTCTTTTTGACTTTCTTTTTTAATAATAAGAAGTATGACCACAAAGAAGGTAGCATTGAGAGTCTCAGGCATTTCAATCTTACATGTAATTGGAGTGCTGTGTGAGAAAGAGAGGATACCTAAAATTTTAGAAGCTATGTAGAAAGAATCCAGAGAGAAAATTGTAATGGGGAATAGGACACATCAGCGGGACTGATTTCATGTTTCTAGTCTCATCCTGTGACATACAGGATGATATTTTTATGATTTTTCTCTATTTTTTTTTGGTTACAAGATACACACCTAATTTTACATTAAGTTTTTAGCATTTTAGCCCTATTGATTATCTTTTTCTTTTTTTAAGTTAGATATGCTCCTTTTTATCCCCTTTGTTTTTGTTTATTTATTTTTATGTGGTGCTGAGGATCGAACCCAGGACCTCACGCATGTGAGGCAAGTACTTTACCATTGAGCTACAGCCCAAGCCCTAGCCCTGTTGATCCTTTTAGAAGAGTTGCCTTAACACGTCTCATTTCGCCACGGCCATTTAATCAGTTTATATCATATTTAATGAAAAGTCAAAGTGCCAGGAGCAGGCTCAACTTACTACTTAAGGTAGTCCAACAATATGGTGAGCTAGAATCTAGGGATTGATCCTGTCTGTATCCACCCTCAAAGTGATGCTAGAAAAACACAAATGTTTACAGAGGAGGATGGTTTTCCATGTACTTTGTCATCTTCCTAGTTGTGGCCATTGAAGGGGCCTGGCCTCCAGTTCCAGCAGCTCCATTTAAATGCTCAGTGGCATTAGACAAATATTTTATTATTTTTATTTATTTACATATGACAGCAGAATGCATTACAATTCTTATTACACATATAGAGCACAATTTTTCATATCTCTGATTGTATACACAGTATAGTCACACCAATTCATGTCTTCATACATGTACTTTGGATAATAATGTCCATCACATTCCACCATCATTTCTAATCCATGCTCTCTCCCTTCCCCTCCCACCTCTCTTCCCTATGTAGAGTTCGTCTATTCCTCCCATGCTCCCCCGTCCCTACCCCACTATGAATCAGCCTCCTTATATCAGAGAAAACATTATATCAAATTTGAAAAAAAAAGGATTGCAAATTTTGAATGGATCTCTTCACTAAAGAGCAATATTAATACCATAAAAGCTTTCCAAATGGATCCCCACTTAACTAACCTTTCTTATTGACTCTGGCTCACCATACCCTCTGTTAAGTGAACAGGCAGCCCTTGGTACACTGAGCCCAGCCAGTAAGCTGTCCACTTTTTGCATTTTCACATCTTTTATCAGCAGAGTAGTATGTTTACCAGGGTTCAATTATATTATTTTTTTCACCAAATGTATGTGTGGTTGCACTGCCTTTTGCAATTAATTTATCCAACATTATATACTGATTAAATAAGTGAGGGGAAAGTAAGTATGAAAGGCTAGATATTTACTTCTAAGTTAGTTGTGAATGAAACAACAGAAAAAATTTAGACTAAATAAATAAATTATAAATAAATAAATACCCACATATTTGTGGCCCCTTTGGAGAAAGCAAAACTGAACATTGTAGGTATTGCATTCTTGGTAGGATATTTGTAAGAGAAACAGTTGAGACTCTAACTAACAAACCCATACTAAAAGAAAACCCTTTGTTCCTTCAGGAAGCAACTTTTTGATTAACCAGTCAATGTCTTGCATTGTCTTGCCCACTGCATAAAAGGGCTCTTGATGAAGAAGGAGTTAATTCAATAAAATCAATTACACACTCATAGTCAATCATTCAATACAATAATTATAGTAGCTAATATATTTATCATATATTTTAATATAAAAGTGAAGGTAAAGCAGAAAATCCTTGAATACATTTTCATTATATATATTTTATTGGTTGTTCAAAACATTACAAAGCTCTTGACATAACATATTTCATACATTTGATTCAAGCAGTTCATTTCATCTGATAAGATATTCCTGTAAATAATTTAATAAAGTAGAGGTATTATGGTTATGGAAACTTGTGATTCACATGGACATAGGTATAAGCCTTTGCTCTCTCTTGGGCAAATTAGTTAACTTTCCTCAAATTGTTTCCTCCTCCATAAAATCAGAATCAGCTTACCTTGCCAAGGGTTGCACATGAGGACTAATGTGTGTCAAGTGCCTCAGGGTGGAGGCTGGCATGTGATGGGTACTTGGTGGACAGCAGGTTTTTATTTCTTCAGGAAGAAATTGTAAGCAGCATAAACCTCTCAAGACACTAAGTTTTAGAAAAATCATCAGTCATCAGGAAGTCAACTGGATTGCGGTTAACTTCCTCAAGCCCTGTGTCCAGGAAATATTCTCATTGACTTTCTATGTCTAATGCACGGTGTCCCTCCAGATCAGATGGCTCCACATGAGGGTTATTCTCAGCTGGGGGCAGCCATCTAGATTAATGAGAGCAAAGAGGAGCAGGCTGTGAACTCCTTTATGGAATATTAATTGAGCTAATTAAAAAAATATTTATCTGATGCAGAGAAGTGGGCCAGTTTTTTCACTTCTCTATTTTCCCATTCCTTTCTTCTTGCCTTCTTTCTTACAAAGCTTTCCTAAGCATCTCTTGCTGTACTAGTTTCACTTTTCTTTCATCAAGTATATATTGCTTGAGTGTCGATGGTGTGTTTCACGTATAAAAGTAGGTGGTGAAATGAAGACAGTCCCTGCTCTTGAAATAATAATGGTAATGATTCACACATATTGATCACCTACTGTTTGCCAAGTAATTGAACTCTTCATAAACTTTATCTTGTTTGTTTGTTTATCTATCTATCTATCTATCTATCTATCTATCTATCTATCTATCTATCTATCTACCTATCTGGCTAGCTATCTATCTATCTACCTCTCTATCTATCTATCTAGCCATTGCTGCCAGGGATTGAATTCAAGGGTGCTTAACAATTGAGTCACATCTCCAGCCCTACTTATTTATTTATTTACTCATTCTAATCAATTATACATGACAGCAGAATGCACTTCAATTCACAAATGGAGCACAATTTTTCCCTTCTATGGTTGTGCATGAAGTAGAGTCACACCATTCATGTCATCATACATACAATGATGTCCGCCTCATTCCACCATCTTTCCTACCCCCTTGCCCTCTCTCTTTCCCTCCCTCCCCTTTGATCAATGCAAAGTTTCTCTATTCTTCCTATGCACCACCACCCCCAATTATGGATCAGTATCCATTTAACAGAAAATGTGTAAAGTCAAAGTGCCAAGGAGCAGGCTCAACTTTTGTTTTTTCGGGATTGGCTAACTTCGCTTAGCATGATATTCTCCAACTCCATTCATTTACCTGCAAATACCATGATTTTATTCTCTTTCAATGCTGAGTAATATTCCATTGTATATGTATACCATAGGGTTTTTTTAATCCATTCATCTGTTGATGGGCATCTAAATTGGTACAACTGACTGGAAAGCAATATGGAAATTCCTTTCAAAACTTGGAATGGAACCATTTAGCTATTGTGAATTGTGCAGCTATAAATATTGATATGGCTGCGTCACTGTAGTATGTTGTTTTTAAGTCCTTTAGGTAGAGACTAAGGAGTGGGATAACTGAGTCAAATGGTTCCATTCCAAGTTTTGAAAGGAATCTCCATATTGCTTTCCAGTCAGTTGCACCAATTTGCAGTCCCAACAGCAATGTAAGAGTATACCTTTCACCCCACATCCTTGCCAGCACTTATTGTTGCTTGTATTCTTGATAACTGCCATTCTGAGTGGAGTGAGATGAAATCTTAGTTTGATTAGCATTTCTCTAATTATAAGAGATGTTGAACATTTTTTCATATAGTTGTTGATTGATTATATATCGTCTTCTGAGAAGTATCTGTTCAGTTCCTTAACCCCTTTATTTATTTGTTTGGTGTTTTGTGAGTTTTTTATATATCCTGGAGATTAGTACTCTATCTGTTGTGCATGTGGTAAAAAATGTGTTCCCATTCTGTAAGCTATCTCTTGACTTCACTTATTGTTTCTTTTGCTGAGAAGAAACTTTTTAGTTTGAATCCATCCCATTTATTGATTCTTGATTTTATTTCTTGTGCTTTAGGATTCTTGCTAAGGAAGTTGGGGCCTTCCTTAATCTGACATGTTAAAGCCTACTTTTTCTTCTATTAGGTGCAGGGTTTCTGGTCTAGTTTCTAGGTCTTGATCCACTTTGAGTTGATTTTTGTACATGGTGAGAGACAGTGGTTTAATTTCATTTTGCTGCGTATGGATTTCCAGTTTTCCTAGCAGCATTTGTTGTAGAGACTATCTTTTATCCAATTTTTTTTGGCACCTTTGTCTAGTATGAGATGACTGTGTTTATGTGGGTTTGTTTCAAAGTCCTCTGTTCTGTATCATTGGTCTACAAATCTATTTTGCTGGGTTTTGAGGGATAAATAGGAGTATGCAGATGAATAAAGTAGAGAAGGAGTACTCTAGATGGTTGGAAAATTATATAAAAATCAAACAGGATAAGACACTAGATGACTCGAGGGAGATTAGTGCAGCTAGTAAAACATTATTATCTCTTTCAAAAATGATAAAACCAACACTTGAATAGATTAAATAAGTAGTTTTAAATAGCAGACCTAGAGAGTAGCAAAACTATGGTCCAGTATCATCTTATTTGAAAACCCAAAGGCAGTATACCAGAAGTTTGAATCACTCAAAAAAAATGTCTAGACAATAATAATTTATTGAGCACTCAATAAATTACACAATAATTTGGTAGCAGGTACCAAGTAAAATATTCTTCCAGGTAAAATTCTAGCATCTGGGGGCAGAGTAAGAAACAAAGCAGATTCCCTGTCCTCCTAATAAACATTTAGACTCACAAAGAAGGAAACTTCAGCTACCAATAGGTGCTATGAAGAAAATACCAATGATCGTGGATAGAGTATGCTTGCCTGCAGACCTTGTTCTATTCTAAAGACTTGCATTACTTCATGTCATTCTTAAAATAAACCCAACAACTGTTCTCACGACCATCATCTTGCTGATGAAGATGCTGAACAACAGTACTGAAGTCCCTGCCTCATGACCCACAGTGGGTAAACAGAGACACCACACTCAAACTCAAGTGGTGTGGCTCCAGATGGTGTGCATGATCTCACCTTGGCGAAGAGTAAATGAGAAAGGACACTGCGGTGAGAAGTCTGGTCTAGCTAGAATACGAGAAAAGACCAGGACGAGCAATAGATGTGTGAGTTGGAAACTAGAATAGTGAAGAGGGGGATGTTTGCTTAAAAATCTATAGATACACCATTCCAAGTACAAACATCAGCAGGTAAACAGACACTGAGACAGGAATGCACGTGGCATCCTTGAGGGTTAGCAGGAGGAAAGTAGAGGCAAATGAGGCCTCCATCAAGGGCAGTCTGGGAGCTATGGACATGAGCTGGAATATCATTGTCATCTCTACCAGATGCTATTTTTCTTTCCTGATTGACTAAGCTGGTCTCTGATGCGGAATGAATGAGATACATGGAAGGTCCTAGAAAACTGTTCTTGCTCTTCTCCAATGCCATACCTATCCCAGTGATGACACCAAGAACTCCTAGAGGCCAGTAACTCATAGTTTCCTATCTGGTCATCTTTCATTACTGACTGCACAGTGCCAGCTGGGGTTGGTAGCTGCAGTCTCTAGGGACCTCTCAGGTCAGAAGCCTATCTGACACAGAAAGGGCCAGAGTATGAGGAACAGAGGGCAGGAAGAGCAGGAGGATCAATCAAATTTGAGCAGGACCCTGTGTAAGTCTGAAACTGCCTTACCAGGAAAGCCAGAAGTCTGTCAGGGTGCATTTCAGACGAAGAAACTGCCTCTATTTAATATCAGTTATGACTTGGGAGAAGGGACGCTCTGCACTGTTTCAAGGTGACACAGCATTATGTGCTGCTTGTCGTTATGAGCCTGTTCTAATTATATGCCTCCTTGATTATTGTTCTGCAGATTGATTAGAACCATATTCAAGACATTTGTAGATCATAGTTCCTGGACACATCTATATGTTAGCAAATCAAGTATGATTTATCCCTGGAATTATTGGTTAGGGATGGCTTCTCTTTTTCAAAGCATGTTCTCTCTAGCTTATAATTTTAATTAGCTCTTGCTCCCAGTTCACACTGAGAATGGGGATGATTGTCACTTCAGCACTGATGCACAGCCTTCGCTTGTAATGCAACTTGGAGTTTTGCATTTGGATTCCTTAATCAATGCTGGATGTAGGATAAGGGAAACTGCTGAAATTAAAGTTGCAGTGCAATAGGAAATTGAATAGCTCTTCAATTTGGGAGGTGAATTTGAATTAGATTACTGATAGGCGAAGCTGGATTTGACAATCTAGGGACACACATCCACCATGCCCGATTCTTGGTAAAGATCATCCTTCTCTCACACCCAACCTAGTGGGCAGGGATTAGACCCTTGTGCTGGAGAGGGCCCAGCCCACCTCAGGAGTCCATCATGTGATCTTCGTTTCTTACAGTTTCTTGAAAAAATGAATGGCAGCTGTCATGGCTTGGCAAGTCTGTATTAGGTTATGCTGCTTGTGCTACCTCATCGTCTCTCTGCCACACAGAGGCTTCAGGTTTTCTCCCTTTTTTCTTTCACATTAAGGGAGGTAAAGAGAGGTTTCTCTGGAAGTTCTCTATCCTTGGACGGAGGCAAAAGTCTGTGTATGAAGAAAGTACAGTCGCTTCCCGAATAGGTGAAATAATTGTAAGAAAAAACCTTCTTTGAATTTCTGATTACCCTTTTTTACCTGAGATAATATTGTATTGTTTCTTAAGAGATTTAGTATTTTGAATAAGATAATTATATTCCTACTAATATGCAAGTAGAATTTCCCCTCTGTGAAAGAGCGGTACCTATTTCAGAAAGATTTAAGTTCAAATTTAATCACTTTGTCTCTGAACTTCAAGTGATATTTAATTATCGTCATCTTGACTTACACTGACTGATATACAAACAGTGCCAACGGGAGCAGAAAAGTAGAACATGTGCTAAAGAAAATAAAGAGCTGAGAGGAGTGTGACAGAAGTTTGGAAGTTTCAAGGATGTAATCTGTTCCAGCAAGTTCAAGTTCTTTCCTTCCTGAAAAAAAAAAAAAAAAGCAATTGGTATTAAAATACACTATTGCTTGGCAGGGCAAATATGAATATTTAACAGTAACAAGTTGATGCAGTTTAAATGTTCCTAGGCCCAGGTTTAACAGAATATTGTAAGGAAGATTCACTTTCATGAAGTGAAAGTAAGTGTTTGAAATGAAGTCGAGTATCCTTGAGGATTTTTATCACCCACTAAAGCTTAGAGAAGGCTGTTTTATCCTACAGTTGAGTTTGATCATCCAAAAACTAGTATAAATTTTGCCCTAAATGAACAGTCTAAGTAAGAAAGGATTTTTCCCATGCAAATTTAATACTTGTTATGTGCTATTTGTTGTATCTCCATTTCTCCAGAGGAACTGAACCAATAGTGTGTGTGTGTGTGTGTGTGTGTGTGTGTGTGTGTGTGTGTGTGTGATTTATTTGAAGAACTGGTGGGAAAAAAACGTTACGGAGGCTGACAAGTCCCCAAACTGCTGGGTGCTGGGGAATCGCTGATGCTGCAGTTTAAGTCTGAAGAATTTTTTCTTGCCCAGAAAAAGGTCAGTCTTTTGTACTATTCAGGCCTTCAACTATTTGGATATGGACCACCCACATTATGGAGAGTGATCTTTATTATTTTTTAAGTCCATCAATCTAAATCTTAATCTCATTCAAAAACACTCTCAAAGAAACATTCAGAATAGGGCTGAGGATGTCACTCAGTTGTAGAGTGCTTGGCTAGCATGCTTGAGGCTCTGTGTTCAATCCACAGTCCTAAAAAAAAAAAAAAGGACCTGCTTATTTGAAAAGACAGTACAAAGTTGCTCTTCCTAAGTATGGTCCTAAACCACTTGTGATGCCAAGAAGCTTACCATCCAGTGGTGATATATTTTGAGTACTAAACCCATCCTTATTTTTGTTTCATTTTTAAATTAATTCAGTAAAGAGAGAGGAAGTTGATATCACAAGAGCATATTGCATTTTGGGAGAGACAATGGCCATAGGGTCAGGAAAAGGCCTCGCTGGCTATTCTTGCCTCAGTCCTGTCTCCCGAGAATATGTATCAGCTCCTAGGATTTGGGCTAGTAACTCTTTATATCAATCTGACCACCAGCTGAGGGACTCAAGAGATTGCCCCTAAGGAGATAAATGTCAGGGCCAATGTTAGACACGTACCTACTGAGGACATGAGGTAAACAGCATGGCACTGTGAGAAGATGTTACAGAGTAAAAGAAGGAAGACATCAGGCTTCTCACTTAAAGTGTTCTTTATTTCGGTTTGGGGTAATGAAAAAGTTCTGGAGTGATGGTCACACAACAGTGTAAATCTACTTAATATTTCTGGATAGTATAAACAAAAATGGTTAAAATGCATAATTTCATATTGGATATATTTTAGTACAACTTAAGTTATCTAGACAGGCTTAATGTCTTAGTATAAAATTCAATTATGTAACTAAAATGTACCTTATTTACAACTGGTATGAAATAGACACAGCGATTAATTAAAAATATTTTTTCCTAAAGCAGATCCTTGGTCTCCGTGAGGAATTAGTGTAAAAAAATAAAACTATGAATTATTATGAATTCCAGGGGAAAAATCGATATTTTATTTTTACCTAAATTGACCTGCAAAAAGCAGGTTAGCAAGCAAAACAAAACCATGAGCATTAAAGATTTAAATACCAAAGTCAGAATGTTCAGTTAAAACATAAATAAAGAGGTGTGGATAGGGAAAGATCCTATCTCATAGCAGTAATGCAGGTAGCATGATATAAATATGATTAGCTCCCACGAAAGCATAAAGTAATGAAAAACTATGAGTAAATAACTAATAAAGCATTAAAGTATATTCAAGTTTCTGATTATCAAAGTGACATAAATTATTTCCAGGGTCATTTAGTAAAATAGGCAATTCTAACATCATAGCAAAATGTCTAGCTAAAGCACCTGTGCTCCTATTTTTACTAAATGTATAAAAAAATGAACCCTGAATACTTTGTACTGTTTTGTCCTTCGCATGTTTATGTGAGAAATTTATGGACAGGTTCAGTGAAAAGGTGCAGAGATAATTAGATTGCTAAGACCTACACAGCAAACCCAAAGAAGCTGGTATTTATTTAATCAAAGACAAACATATGCTTAGAAATGCAAAAGTAGAATTATTATTCTATCAAAAGGTACTAATTGGTTTCAATTTTACAGAAGAGAGAAAAACAGGGGGTAGATATTACAGGATAATTTCTATCACAGTGAAAGTATTTTGGGTGTTTTGACACAGCAATTTTATAGTAGATTATGGAGGTGGTTTGAAAATTTTTTTTCTATGATATTTAAAAACAGAAAAGATTTTCTTCTTTCTCACATGGTTCGGTTTTAGGTTGGTAGCTCTGCTAAAAACCTTTCTCAAGGACCCCTTTGGAATTGTGATTCCAAATCCAGACTTTATGTAACACAGCTCTTAAAAAGCATGTTTTATATAGATTTCACTGCATGATAAAACCAGGTTTCATGATCTCAGCTGAAATATTCCTCTAATATTACCAGTCCCACTTCCACATGGTACTTGATTTGTTACAAGATCAGATGAATGGAGAAAATTTTGGAGCAAATTTTTTGCTCCATCAAAACAACTCTCCTTGGGGTCTATGAAAAGCAGGTATTCTTTTAGGGCGTATGTGAAAATGAATAAATGAGATAATAATATGAAAATGAATAACCCAGAAACTGATCATGGGAGACATCTCAGCAAATAAGATTTCTGGCATGACAGCAGAAAATGAGGGTTATATTCATGAATATGTCTGCATATTCAAAGCTGGGCTTATATTGCAAATAATAATAATTATAATGAGATTATTACTACAGATGATGCTGTGTTCCAGACACTTGTTTAATCCTTCAATAACCTTTCTTCCTATAACGAAGAAACTAAGGCACAGAACATAATAAGTGTGCAGATGTGAAGGCCCTGGGGGAAAATTGCATTGGAAAAAAGCAGGAGGACAGATTGAAGGACATTTGGGACACCAATTGACAAGCTTCTCTTTCTTCTAGGCAAGGCTTTGTGAGTGTCTGAGATAAGGTGTGACCAATCACAGGTATGCTGTTGGCATTGTACATAGTTCTTAATCCATTGGTAAGTAGGTTCTGGAGGTGAGTCTTGTGGTCTTGAAATAGTGAAATGGTTCAGATTAGGCAAGAGAAAGGCATGGGAATAGGAAGGAGCATTTATTTGGGGAGATTATGGAGGAAGAAATTATAGGACCTAGTACTAACTGTATGTCCAGTGGAGGGAAAGAAACATTGAGGACATTTTCTCCTTATAAATTTAATTTTAAAAAGTAGAATTGCAGAGCTGGGGGTGTGGCTCACTGGTAGAGAGCTTGCTAAGCATGTGTAGTCCCTGAGTTTGATCACCAGCAATGTGTGTGTGTGTGGGTAGGATTTCATTTCATGAATAGTATATGCGCACAGTTGATGATAATTCTGAAATGCTTTGATTATTTTGCTTATGAGCTTTCATAAGTTTTTAATTTGCTTTTTTGTGTTTAAATATTCTGCCCAAAACTCTGTGTTTTAATACATGAAAAACAAAGCCAAGTATAATTTTGAATGTGTGACTAAATAACAAAGAGACTCAAACTGATATGGGCAGTTAATAAAACAGTTTAATATTGTTTCTTGAATGAACAAGTCTCACAGGTAAACTGAGTATCCTTACAGATCCTTCTGATAAAGTTTTCTAAAGTTGAGGACTTCTTGGTAATTTTTAAAAATATAATTAAAAGTTTAAATGACAAGAGTTCTAAGTTACAGAACTTTGCTCCTCACAGCATCCAAGTAAGTAGAGTAAAAGAAATTTGAGAGCTAGTACTTTCAATTTCACATACAAGGAAATAGCGCCACACAGATGGGATGGGTGAGCAAAAGATTGAGATGGATTCTCTAATTGGGCATGGTGGCACAACTCTGTACTCTCAGTTACTCAGGAGGCTGAGGCTAATATGGGAGTTCATAACCCACTTGAATCAAAGTGTGAAATATGATATATCAAGAACTATGTAATGTTTTGAACAACCAACAATAAAAAAAAGAAAAAAAATAAGTTCAAATTTAGCCTCAGCAACTTAGCGAGACCCTTTCTCAAAATATAAATATTTTTAAAATAGCTGAGTACATAATAGCCTGCCTAACATGTATGAGGCCCTATCCCAATACTGCGGGGAGGAGGGAAGACCTACTCTGTCACTCTTTCTTCCAGTCATTGTATTTATTCTTAGCATCCCAAACTTTGCGCCCTTTCGTCGCTCTCGCTCTCTACTAATCTTACCACTAAATTCAATTTCATGCCCTTCGTTTAGTTCCTGTTCTCCTTCCTTCTGGAGACACCATAATTTTCTTCTAATTGCATACCATTCTGCCTTCCCCTCCCTGTGTCTAGAGTGTTTCCTCTGCCTTTATTTGCCAAATACCTTCCCTTACTGCCTTCAAAGATCTCTTTCATTTTCCCTTCTTCCCCAAAGCCCATCAGAACTAAGTGTGTGTGATATTGAATCTCTCCTTTATTCTAACGTGCTACCTGTTCATTCCACAAAAACCACAAGTGCTGAACTTAAAACATAACGTAATACTTATGTAGAATAGGCTTGCTTTTGCTCTAATATCACCCAGGTTGGATAATTCTATTTTGAGCGCATTAATATTGTGTGGTCTGAAATGTAGGCAGGGAAACAATAGGAATTGATTCCATTTAACTCACTCAGAGAAGCATATGCACGATGCAATGGAACTAAACGCACAATTAATAAGTGCTGCAGTGTCCACCATCTTGCATCCCTGATTCAAGGACTCAGACAAAGGGTTTTTGCAGAACGGCCATCTTCTGGCTATGTGTATTTTTGTTTCATAGTGTCAAGTTAGAATCATATGATTCATAAAGGGATTCTTTCAAGGTCAGAGGTTAGGGACAAGAGAAAGGAAATGGAGGTGTCCTCTGTAACTCCA